ATGATGATGATGATGATGATGAAAATATGATAATTCTTATAATAATAGTAATGCGATTGCAGTGATAAAATTTTGATTGGTTATTTAATTAATTAATTGATTGTTCGAAGTATTGATTCAACGAGTAATTGATAACTGATAATCAGTTTTAAAATTTATTAAGAATTGATAACTGATGTGCGTTTGATAGATAGTAATAAATGCACCAGTAATGGATGAATCAAGAAGTTAAGTGCTAATACTTGTGAATGGTTTTGTTGATCGACCGATTGAGAGGAGATGACAGCAGCACTTACGCAGTCTCATGAGGTGCATTCCTGTTTGGCAGTAGTGAGAAGGATAATAACGAATTTACACATGATCATCATTACCTTCACCATTCATACTAACAGTAATGATAATCTTAATATATCGTTGATAAGCATTGTAATAGAAATAAAAGTTGTCTTCATCTAACCTTTGCCGTCATCTTTATTGAAATGATCACCTATGTTTTTGTTTTCTTAACGTTTTCTTGTTTCGTTTGTCTATCTCTCGTTTCCGTCTTCGTCACGTTCGTCTTCAATGAAGCCTTTTCAATAAATATGTGGCATAACGAAGTATAACCTCATCACTATTGTTAATGTCGTCACATTATCGCTAATCTCGTTAGCCGCACAATCACTGATCACGTAATCAAAACGTGATAATAAATGGCATGAAACGTGTGCTACATCATCCACTGGTCATCTCTATCGCTGTTGATAATCGTTGCTCGTTTTATGCACATTGTTACCGTAATGCCGTAGGTTCAATCACTTTCCCTTCCACCTACTTGTTCAAGCTTATTAATCACTCTTGCATTTATCCACAATCGACAAACCAACAAAGTTTATTATTGTTAATCAACAGTTTAAGTACAATATTCTTCTGATGCATTGCAACGATGAGTCTTCTTGGAAGCAATTCAAAAGACATATATGATTTCAAAACATCTGTCTATCAGTTACCATTCAAATGACATCGTTCCACTCTCGACTTCTCTTCCATATATCATCAAATTCTCATTCTCTTTTCATGATAACTTATTAATGATATCTGCAAATACGAAATTCGATTTGAATATCTCATCGTCATCATTATCACTGCTGTTATTATTGTCATCAATGAAGTTGTAAAGGGATTTTTCACTTTTTCTCATTCTCAAAAATCACCTATCAAGTTTCCAGCAACATCTATCAATTTTATTGTAATGAAAACGATGATAAAATAACGGTGATAGCAATACTTTTGTGTACTAACTGCTAATTAATTATTATACGAAAATAAATAAAGCAGCATTCTTATTGACTGCACCATTTTCATTTTCATATAGTAAATTTCAATTTATATCACACGCAAAAATTCTATGACAGTTATCTATTTTGTGGATGGATCTGTCTAAAACGAATTAATGAACCAAGGAATAGGTATAAATAAACGATTGAGTAAATGGATTAGGGAATGAATGAACTTATAGATAAGCAAACAATCAGTATGTGTTTCTAAATGTTCGAGGAACGTTGCTGGAATATGTGGCATCATTGAAATAATCATAATCACGTTAAGAGACAATCCAACGAAAACCGATAGTGCTAGTTTACGATGATGCTAGTTTATGATGATGTTCTACTTTTTCTGCAATCACTTCTAGTTAGTGCTTCAAATCCAAAATTTTCAACTCTTCTTAAAAACAAAGTGATAATCTAGCGATTGTACTCATCATCGTTCGTGCAACGCTACACTAGCGTGTTGTTTTTCAATCGACAGTAGTTGTGTGCCAGCTGGTAGCCGGCTAAGTGGAATGCTTCGGTACATTCCAATTAATTTGGTATTATTTTATCGTAGTGTCTATTGTTGTTACCACGTCTATTGTTGTCAATACGAATCGTTGTTTCGATTCTTCCAAATATTCAGAACAGTTTTCTTTTCCAAAAAATTCGTTCAGTTTGCGGTGTTTCATTACCATCAGCAGCATCGTTCAACAAGCGATCTGACTTTACTATGTTCATTGATCAGCCAGCATAAGCAGTTTATTGTGTGCTGATCGTACACAAGCTACTTACTAATCGTCTTAAATTGTTTTTTTGGTGGTTTATCAGAGTTGTTTTCGTGCTTTATCATTTTATACCTATGCTTATCATAACGTATATTTTGTCTTCTACACTCTCGCTTATTCGATCGAGCGGATCTTCAAACTATCCAGACATTCGACTAATGTAATAATTTCAGTTTACTGATGGGTTGGCTTTCAGATTTTCCAAGGAGTTAAATTTTTGTGAGAAATATCAGTAAATTTGTTTTAGTTGACATCGTCGATCTGATAGGGGATTTGAAAACATTCAGATCAAATAAGGAAGAAGGGCAATACTAAGTAAGTGTTTGAAGTTTGTAGGGTAGGTAGTTTGGATGCACGAGCTTGATTTGTTTATATTGTAGCACTAGTAGCACTAGATTGAATATGATAGCGAGAGGAAGAAAATGAGAAGTGGTTAGGGTGAATGAACATTAGTCTCAAACGAAACGAACGAACGAATTGACGAGCCATAACAATGAAGAATTAAATATGACCGCCACCGTAACAGCACTAGCGATCGTCGAGCCATTTAACAGCATAAAAACGCATTTCAGTTCGTATCAAGCTCTCTGCTGACATTAATAGATGTTTCCAAAAAATCGTTATCACTGTCAATTAGAGGTTGCGCCTCAATTATATAAATGTAATCAAATGCATAACATATCACCACTGCAACATCATCATTAATGATCACATGAATTTTCCATCTTATTTTTGCAGCTGGTATTTACTTATTGTGCTTTCGTGAGCACAATAAGGAGTACATTCCACTGTCATGAGTACTTTGATGATCATAAATCTAATCAGCTATCAGCATTTTTTGATTAGTTTTCGATCAGTCTGATAATAAGCATAAAACGAATAAGAGCAACGCCTACGAATTGCAATGCAATTCATAAGGCAAATGCATTTTCTGCTTCTAACGGAGGCAAGCACTACTTAATATTTGCTTATATATTTGTATGGTACCTACTTGGATGAATAATTACCGTATGTTCGTTATGGTGTATTTGAATAGCAGTTATTAAGACTGCAGTCTACTGCACTCCTCAGAGAGCAGCAATATCTAACTGTAAAGCAATCAAGCGCTATCAATGAGAGCAAGAAAAAACGTTTAGCAAATCCTATTATCACAAATAGCATCAGTTGATTATAAAGCATTAGCACCTCTTCTAGGATTATCTTTCATTGTATTATTACATGTTTTCTATATTGTTGCTAGTATTTTACTGCCATTATTTTTAGTTCTGTTGCTGTTATTACTGCTATGATCAGTTATGAGCATTATCATAAATTTACATGCGATGCAACTGAAACGATTTGTTAAGGAATCATCAGCAATGCTTAAGCATCATAAACCATATCGTCTTTCCCCTTCCTCCATACCATACACTACGTTCAAGCAACACCGTATTCAATTCAGTTCTTCTGCAGTTTATTGGCTTATTATTATCTGGCATTCCATACTATATCCACTCTGTTCAAACAACCTTACTATCTTGATACAAACCATCATTTTACTCATTGAACTTTTTTATAGTCTTATTCATCTATTCATCCGCTATTCATCTATGATCCATTTATCTGTTGATCTATACATCTATTTATCTATCAATCTATCTACCTATCTATTTATCTGTTTGTATACCTACCCAACTATCTGAGTAACCATCGATGAGAAATACTTTTGAGAGCGATATTCCACTCTGATAGGATCTGAGAGTACCATAATCCGGTGCAAGAGATTGATCTAATTATTCTCCTATCTCATTTGTTCTTTTAATGACCCGATGACTTAGTTTTTCATTTTCTGTGTCCATACGTGGTGGAAACTTTTCATTTTCATTTCAGATACAATTTATTATTTATTTGGGAATGTTTTTGTTTTGTTTCAAATCCATTCGTGTCTTCGATAAGATCATATCATTTTGTTTTTTCACAAAGACTAGATCATTATCAGTGAGCATGACCAATGTACTGAGTTATGATCTTTTTGGTAAACAAGCTAAGAACCTAAGAAGTTCGTCCTATCATGTGATGCTTATTGTCGTCTTATTGGAAAATTGAGAGGAAAATAGTAGCAATAATTATATTAACGTAACAATAATTTTAGCCGTCTTGATAAGTGATATTAATTGGTGATAGTTTCTCTTCATAAAATATCAATTTCGATGAAGGTAGACGGATGGAAAGGAGCAGAAGTGTGCAGCAATCAATAGAAACGAAGGGATAGCTATTAATCTTTGTGTTTACAAACGAACCGCATGCCTTTAGTGATTCAATCAGTCATCTCAAAAAACAATAATATTAATGATATCAAAAATTTCGATGATCAATCAGTGAACTGGTCAATTAACTGAAATACGATCGCATGAATGCTTGCGAAATTACTGAGCACTTCGTCAGTTATCATTATATCACATATATTACCATTATCATTATGATCATCGTTGTTACCCATTCCAGTACCGTTTGTATGTTATATTTATGAGCCTTTCAGAATCAGTTCTCCTATGGCACTTATTGCTGACCCAGAATTCAAAGAAAGGGCATCCAGCACTCAAAATATAACACATTTGCGCAGTTAATGGAATTATTGCATTATCAGTATTTTTATCGCTATTGGTGTTATTGTCAGTATTATAATTCATAAATATATCTCACCGTAACATAATCATCTGCAGAAATATATTCGTCTTGTCGTTTTCTTGAACATCCTCGTATCGCTATTAATAGTACAATTTGTTAGTGCGATTGGACGTCATTTCGAGTGATACTGTCACTAAAATTTGCTAACCGTTCAAGTTGAATCAGCTAAACCACTGCTGAACAATTCGTTTGAACAATACTACTGAGTGATTTATTGTTACGATTTTTTGGACGAAATATAGTAATTCTATCGGCGATGCTATCAGCATTATCGCTTTCACGACACCGTAACAGCCTTCTATTGAGCGGTAAGTGACCAATCCATCCATAAATTGATATATTCATCAAACCACCCGACCACCCAGCCATCTTACCTATTACTGTAGTTACTTCAAGAACTTCTCTTCTTGATCTAACAATTTTTACTCCACCGTTCAAAGCACTTATGGCAGAGGACCATTTTCAGAAGAAAATCTTTTCAAGGGTGAAAATCCCTAATCATGATTGCATCGCAGTTTGCTTTTTATTGAAAATACATTTAACTCGAAAATCTTCAGCAATCAAGAGAAACCGAAGTGTAGCGTAATACTATTTATTGTATTTAATTTTAAAGGTTTGGCCACCTCAATGGAATCGGCTAGCTTCAGTAAGCACGTTCGTTTTGCGGAGATGGAAAGAAGCAATAACAGCAATAATACTTCATTGAATAATTCTAAGATATCACAACTATCACGACACAACTCAAAAGCACCAAAACGTCCACCACGGCCAAAACGAATGGAATATTTATATCATTTTGACGGCCCTCATAATGATGTTGACTCTGCTGTCAGCAACAAACATCCGCATGAAACCCAATCGTCCTCTCCTTTAAGAAAGTCGTTCTCCTCTCAACCATCATCGTTACCGTATTCAAAAAATCCGAATCAACAGCAGTATGAGGTGGAGAATGACGAGAATTCTGCTGATACTGTTCTACTCAAAGCACCACGACAAACTGAATTTGCCGGTGATACCAACGAAGATGATGAGAATGACGCAAATGAAGACGAACAGGCAAGTTGATGTGTTCGTTTATTAATTTGTGAGTGATGATTTATTTGGTGGGTGAGTGATTACTGAACCAGTTGTTTAGCATTAGTTAATGCTTATTGCTTAACTGAAACTCATCGATTCATGCACACTTAATTGTATTTACTCATTTGAGATGTCTGATCATCTTCATAGTCGCTAATATTAACCAGCCTTGGGACATTTCATATTACTCGTCTGCGTCATCTTCTATTTTTTAGCCATTTACGTTAGCTGTAAGTTCCTTTTTGTTTTTGAACGGTCATTCGAGTTATCTTTTACCTCTTAGCACTGATAAAATAAGACCAGCTAACTTTACCGAGAAATTCACATGTAAATAAGTGACTCAATACACGAGAAAATTTCAATTCTTTTCGCTAATTGCGTTCATCGTCATGAAGAATGTGATTTTTGATTATTTTTGAAAAACCATCGAATTGTTTCGTAAATTTTGTTATTGCTGTTGTCGTTGAGTGACGAGAGATGTGGCTTTGTTGTGTATTGCGAAAAATGAAAGAAATTGAAAATAGATTGTTATCTCGTATATTGAGCACCGACAAGATGATTTTTCATAATAGGTTGACGTTAATTCAATTGCATTTTGAATCAATAAAAATTTAACGAATCAGAAAAGAATTTTTAACGAGTTAAATCAGTGGCAAATTTTAAAGAAATAGCATGAAATTTGTGATATTTTAGGAAATGTTCATTTGTTTGCTTAGGTTCAAGTGCTAAACTCAACTAAACATAATGATGTTTTTTGCTTTGAATCCAACTCCTCCTCCAAGGAAACGTTGGGACAGCACATGAATGGAAAACTAAAATTTTAGTATGTCACCAAACAGTGAGTATTTCGAGCAACTGAATGCGTTCAAAACAGAGACACTGATCAGAATGAATATAATTTATGGTTTATTCACTCACAATTTATGTTTGGACAGACCAGAAAATGTGTCATCAATGATGATGATGGTAACATTAACAATGGTAATAATAATAACAATGACAGTGATAAAAATAGTAATCTAATGATAATAATACGAACGAACATGATAATAATAACAAAAACAGTTCCATCTAAGAGAAAAGTGCTGTGAACAGTACGTTGATGATGGAATTTGTGTTCTTTCACACTTACTTAACGAGTACTTCTATCGTCAGTCAGCTCGCTATTAGTGATGAATGCAACGTTGTTAATCCTTGCTTTTAGACAATCGCTGCAGTTTTTTTGTATGGTGATCTTTTGTGGAGATAAGCAATTACGATTGTATAGCGAGCGTAAGTTCAGTTGGGAAAATATCCTGAAATAGGATGTGAGGCAGGGGATTGAATCCCACAATTGATCATCTATTTTCTGTTTCCTTCTCTTTTGCATGTTGTACTTCTTTTGGTGGCTCATTTCTCATTTTCGATCTGTTTTTTTGCACACATTTTCAGTTAGTCTCAGATATTGCATGGCACATTCAGCGATGTCATTTATTCATTGAGAAGAGCAGTAGTTGTTTTTCTTTTGCGAATAACTCCTATGTTCACAAAAGTGTGGTATGAAAGCAGGAACAACATGCTGATGACGAAATCTGCGTTTTCCCACAATTTCAAACGAGTGCTATTAATCAGTGCATTTCTGCGAAGTGTCTTTTCTTGTATCAGTTTTACTGGAGACAACCAAAGTGAGGAAACTATCTGAAATTAAAAAAACGTCGTAAGTGGTGAACGCAGGAGCATTCTTTGGTTTCTCGTCAACCGATTGATGCCACTCGTTGTGTCAATCGCTTGCAAAATTGACAGCCATGATTGCTATCGTGACAAAAACAAAACGACTGGCTAATGGAGTAAAATTAAGACCATAAAATCCAAAATATGCATTATCTGCTTGCTATAGAGGCGAAAAATCGAAACACTTTTTTGTTCTCCCATAAAGAGTAGTATTGGAGAATGAAAAGGTATTTCGTATGTCTTTAGGTGGGTGGGATTTATGAATAATCGCAATGAACGTTGTGATAGTTAAATGTGAATTAATGAATGGGAAAATGAAATTAGCCAAATAAATTAAAGTAAAAAATGAAACATTTTTTGAAAATTCCACATTCTATTCTCTGAAATGTCTGCCACTGAACAAATGAATGAAGAACACAAAAAGGTTTCGTTACGAACCGGGCGAATTAGAATTTTCAAGATGCAGCAATTATTACTAATTTCCTTATTATTATTGTCGATATTATTTATCATTACGTATCATTTATTATTATTCACTATTTATTATTACTGCTATTATTATTGATTTTACTTGATTCATAGCATTGAAATTCCATTCGTCGTCCATATATTATAAATAACAAAAATTTATTCTGATGGAACATTGCGATATATGCCAGAATTGCGGTCGTTGTCGGTGAACAGATACATTAAGAACAAGAGCATTTTTTGTTCATTTGTGCTCTTTATTTCGCTATATCATCTCGTATTGATAATAATGCTGATATTAATAATAATATTATTATTGATAATAATATTGTTATAAATAATATAGATGCTCTTATTATAGACAATAGTAATAATATGAGTAAGAATAGTAATAAAAATAATAATAGTAACGATGGTAATAGTAATGATAGTAATAATAGTAATGATAACACATTTGTATTCAAACTTCAACCAATAACCAAATACTCTTCGTCTTCATCGTATGTGACTGGATTGTGGTGTTCGCGACTCACACAAAACTACATATATGGAAAGTTTATGAACGATATCTTGATTATTAGGAACCCTCTGCTCGCGTAATACATAATATCGCATCTGTCGTTATTTTAAACGAAAAGTAACCGAACTTCATCCTACGCTGTGTGTATTCATTCATCAATTTACGCAAAATAAGCCGAATAATCCAGAATGAAAATGTATTTTACGCATAACATCCATCATTAGTCATCCATTCGATCAACCAGACAGTCGAATAGACAGCCAATTGAAAGCGGATTAAACGAGTAATTAAAAAGCAACACGAATGTCATGTGGGAAACAGTAACAAATTTATGCATTTATAAAAAAACACTTCCCACAGCCAGCTTCATTTTGTGCAACAAATAATAATAACTACGGAACAATTTATTGATTCATTCAGAAAGCGCCCTACTATTGTCCCTTTTTTCGTATTCCACTGAATCAAACGCATCTATTAATACTCAATTAATAATTTTTGCTATCAAGTGATTGTAAAGAATCAACAATTGTTAGATGATTTCATATGGAAACATTGATCTACATTGCAAAGCATTTTTTGCTGAGTGAGTTAGATTCGTTGGTAATGCGCATTGGTAACACGAGTTTTTTCTTTGTCATTTGTTGAACAGACGAAATTAGACAGTTTTGTCTCTAAGTAGGCTTCTTGTTGCTTATTTTGGATGCCTTTCGATCAGAGCACACTCAAAGGTCGTCTTTGATGGATTAATGTTCATGGTAATGGTAGAACACTGAGAAATGTCACAGCTGCTTGATTTGTTGGTGGTTCTCAAAAGTCAAAAATCATTCATCTATCATTTGTTTCGCTACTGCTTCCTTGAACGAGTATTGCGTTACATGACGGATGTTCCCATAGCATCACTGTAATGGAATGTGTACAAAGTTTCATCATAAATAAGCAAAAAATGAATTCATCGAGCGAACTGATCAAGTCGCGAACGAAGAAACACCTAAACGTCACGAAACTGCTCCATTTTTGATGCTTCGCTTTAAGCAGCATACTCTCTCACGACTTCCGTTTATATTCGTTCGCTTAAAATTTTACACAGTGATAAAACGAACAGGTAACTTCTAAAATATTTCCATTTGATTTCATTTCATTACATCTTAGCAATAATTGATTACCCTCTTCTAATTCCGTCCCCTTCTTTCCCTTTCATCTCGATACTGTCGACCACTAGTAACAGTCGATCAGAATCCTTAATAGATCCCTGGTCGATCGAATGCTAAGTGAAACAGTGATGATATTTTGCTGCATTTGATGCACTTAGTATCAGAGATATCGAGCAAACAGTCAAACACAAACGATAAAATATGATAATTGTTGATTATTTAATCGAGAGTGATATGCAAATGATTACATATTGCATCAATGAATTGATTTTAGCATTTAGCATGCGACACGTTAACAGTATCAGTGAACATGACGACAAACGATATGTAAGCAGTAGAATAGTGATCATTGGATGTATTCATCAATCTCATCACTGTCATCGTCATTGTTATCACTAGATTCATGACTGCTGTTTTTATCATTCGGATTGTTGTTATGAGTACAGTAACTATTATATTATAGTCAACCACTATCTAAACTGATCATGATAACATTAGTGAAAGGCATGCATATCCACTATTGGTTAGCATGTTTTTGCAAGATTACAACAGTCATTTGCATGAAATTCATAAGCATCATCATCATCATCGTACCAACAACTCTAAGCACATGCAAACGAACAATACAGCACTAACACAGTAGAGATCGATCATCCGTTCGATCGTTCAGTTCTCTATTGTCATTTATTACTACATATTGTTATTGCTCACTTTTTGGTATTCTAACGAGCCGCTTTTTAAATTTCGTTGTCATCTGCTTGCATGGATCCATCAATGTCTCGAATCAGCTAAATCTAATATCCTTTCATCTACTTCGAACCAGCTTTTCACTCAACCATTCATCCTGATAACCGTCTACCTACCTGTTTTCTTCATAGCCAATCGTCTTGCTCACACAACCGCCTCCTCTTTCCCACCGTCCGCTGTCACTCGTTATATGTTCGAAGTGATCAAAGGAGTTGTACTGCATTGTTTTTGGTGTATTTCCTGAGTGATTTTCTCCATTCGAAACACTTGTAAGTTGTGTTGTATTCTGAAGAAGAATATGATAGAGTTGATTGGATTAGTTTCGGGAGGAGAATAATTAATTGATGAGCACATTCTTGTGGTATTTCGTGGCATTGTTGGTTTTATTTTTAGACAGCATTTGATTCGTTTTTCATTTGTTGTTGAAGTAAATTGATTGTATCACTTGAAAGATTCCAAATTGAAAATGATGAAGTTAGGTCAAAGAAAATTTGACATGTGACGTTTGATTGCAATCGGACTCGATCAGTTAGTTGATCGTGAACGAATTGAGCGAAGACGTTGTTCTAATCAACAGATTCTAAATTTCTTTTCTATTTACTTCTCTCCTTTCATAGTTGCTAATTGAGAAGGTTTTGTTGTTGTGTTACTCAGCTATTATATGTTGTGAGTGAACAACTACGGTAACTGATTATTGAGGATGTCATCCATCTGTCAACTCTCTTCATCATTACGTCTAGCACTGAATGTCAGAGTTGCCGAATTTATTGTTGTCGTTTGAAACTCATTACAATTCGTTCGTAAGAAATGAATTATCATTTCTAATAAGGGAATAATGATAACAGTAATGGTGATAATAATGATGATAATATTAAATCAACTTTTTGGTTTATTTCGATCGCTGATTCTACTGACGATTCTTTCAGCAAGCGAACAGTTGCCTTCTGAAGAAGCGAAAGAGAGGTCATTTCAGTTATACTCCCAATATTATTAGCAATAAAACGACGACGAGTAATGTGCGTATGGCAATGGGCTTAGCAGCTGAAGCGGCCGTGAATGGTAAGGAGCAATTTTTGAGGATTTTCGATCAACGTAAACATTCGTCGTTGTCAAGCGATGCCACATCTACTGCAGTAGTAGCTAGTCAAGCCCATGGAATCGAAACTCAATGCGAATCTCAATTATCATCATATCAAAGTATTATGCGATCGGCTGCTAGACTATCTAAACTCGGTCTACCACCGTACACGAGGTCCACACAACCTGGTCGTTCACTATTCTGCAATCCATGTCAGTTGTGTGCCTTTGTTTTATATTCACTTCGGAGCAGTCACTCATTCTTTGTGGTTCTTACTTCTTTACTGATAATAATAATGACAACAACAACTATCCGAATTAGAGACAGATTATTATGAAAGCATTTCTTACGTAAAAAATACTCACTGATCTCGCAAGGTTATTTTCGCTGTCGATATGGTATGTAATAATTTAGTTCAATTTCAGGTCAGCCTCAAAAAATGGTGCGTTTCTTTCTTGAGGATTGGCTTTTTCTAGCGGTACTCGGCGTGTTAATGGCATTCCTTTCGTTGTCAGTTGATGCGTGCATTGATCAGCTGCAAACTTGTGAGTAATTATCATTAGTGCTGCTGCCACTTCCTTTACAGCTGATTGCGATTTGCAGATAATTTTACTTAAAAGTTTTAATTAATAATGTCTTTTGTGAAGCGTTGCTGTTGTGGTTGTGTGTGAGTGAGAGATTGTTGGTCATTATACGGCGATAGTGTGCTGTGCAAATGTACATGCTGAATGAAACTTTTGAAGAGAAAATTGCAGTCAGTCAATTTGAGAAACAATATGAAAACTGTAATCATATGATAAAATTGTGAGATTTTTACCCGATTTAAAAAAAACTGTCTTTCATATGTGAAATTGTCCACTTGTCATCATCAAATTTCAGTTCACTTGTATTTTATGAACATGGTTGAACGGACCGATGATGGCTTCTTGAATTTCATTCTAACATACATTGTGTGGATGACATATACAATGGTTGTAATGCTCGCATCAGTCATTTTTGTACATTACGTCGGACCATGTGCAATAGGTATCATATTCAAAAGACCATTTCATCGCATTGGTCATATGAAGATAGCAATTTCAAGGCAATTAAGTGATAATAATAAAGACATAATAATTTTATCAATGCCATCAATAGTAATATGATCAAGTCACTCAGTGTTTCAGGATCTGGTATTCCTGAGATTAAAACGATTTTGCGTGGTGTTCGACTTAAGGAATATCTATCATTTCGAACATTCCTAGCAAAAATGGTTGGTCTCGCACTAGCGATTGGCAGTGGTTTTCCGATTGGCAAAGAGGCATGCGTTTGCTCATTCATCTATGATTAGTGTTTTTTATGTGTTTCTGTAAACAAAGGATCAAAAACATTTTTTAGGGCCCGTTTGTGCATGTTGGTTCAATAATAGCAAATTTGATCGGTCGTATGGTCCGTAGTTTTGAACCGGCTTATGCAAATGAATCACGTAGTGCTGAGCTGCTAGCAGCTGGATGTGCGGCTGGTGTTGCGTGCACTTTCAGTGCACCTATTGGAGGTGAGGCATAAATTAGGGTATCTCTGTTTTTGTTTGAGGGAAACAAGCAAGGGGATGGACAAACAAAGTTTATTCGTTCGATGAAGAAAATTTCAATTGCATAGCAATTTTTGAAATTTTGATGCAAACTTTTGATAAAATTCGTAACTTTGAAAATTGAAAAAAGGAGAAAATTCTTGTTCAGTGCGATGTTGTTGAACAAGCTGTTTTTGATTTTTGATTGTTAGCAGTGAATGGTGCTGAGCGCTAACGTTAATTCAGCCAGTCTTCAACTTTCAATTTTATGTATCTTGAGTATTTGGAGGGAAGAAAGCAGTCCTTACAATCCTTACAATTCCATATTCGTGATCAGCTCGAGGAGTTCTACAATTTGATGTATATCTCATCCCGAAACGCTGGGTTCAGTTCGTGACCTTCCCTTGTTAGTAAAGTGAGCATCGTATGTCGCAAATAGGATAAACAATGCTACTAAAACTTGCAGTGATTATTTTTTTGCGAAAAAGTTTACGGTTTATGGTTATGCGTCAAGTTCAAATCGAATCGGTAATATTGACTAGAATTTTGATTAATGCATGATCGAGCGTTTGATTCGGTTGTTATTCGTTCGAATATGTATCGTATATGTATGTACGTAGTTGTTGCGGGTGGGGCGCTTACATTGGAAGGAGATGATTGGGATGGCATGATTGATTGCTTGGATTTATGTTATGCCTTTGGGCACTTACCACATTTTCAAGTTGTCGATTACAATCGCGACGTTTCGGCACTGTCTCTTTGGCAGCATAAGATCACTTGCATATGTTCGTTTGTTTGTGTGTGTTTTGGTTGGAGTTGTTCTTGATTTTGTGTTGTGTAAAGAGTGTTGAGTTCATTGTGTGTTATGTGCAGTTTATTGAATGGTGATGATTGATATCGTCTAAAGTTATATCGAGTTGACAGTTGTTTTCCTTTCACAGGTGTGTTGTTTTCAATTGAAGTGACGGCGGTTTATTTTGCGGTACGTGATTATTGGAGAGGCTTCTTTGCTGCCGCATGTGGCTCAGCGCTCTTCTCACTTCTACGCCTTTATACGCACGATTCAGAAGGTTGGTTTCAGTCGGTTCGATTGTTCTCGTTGACGAATTTTACCAGTGCGATTTTAAAAAGTGATCAGTTGATTGATTGTTGCCTGGAAAGAAGTCCATTCATTTCTTTCTCAATGTGACACAAATACAAACAAAAGTTTTGCTGCCATCAGTAAGAATCATAGATAAGTACTGGTTTTGTGGACGAATGCGATCGAACGAGGCAGGGAGAGGATGATAACATCAATTGAACTGTTAACGAACAAACGTTATCATCCTGTCTTCCCCGCCTTGTAATCTCCCCCGGTATCGCCAATCATCATTGGTAGATGCGCGCATGGTTTTTAATGCACTGTTTCGTTTCAGTGACCGTTGTGGCATTTTACCAGACAACTTTCAAATATCGTGCATTTTATCCAGAAGAATTGGTTATTTTTGCGATGATCGGGTGAGACTGAGATTGTCATATACAAAAGTTTTGCTTGTTTCATTGATTCACTAGTTGAATGATCATTATCGATATTAAGGTTATTTTGCGGTCTTTCTGGAGCGATTTTCATCTATGTTCATCGTCATCTCGTCTTATTCCTCCGACGAAATAGCTTCATGAAGATCATTTTTCAACGCAAGTAAGCCTGAGCTCACCCAACAACATTATTGTTGTTATTATTATTATTATCAATGTTATTATTATTGTCTTGATAATATTGGCAGTATCATATATACTGCAATCATTGCAGTTGGATTGTATATCCGATTGTAATATCGGCAGTCTACGCAACTCTCACACATCCGATTGGATTCGGTCGTCATATTACTGGAGAAGTATGATTTCAAGCCTTTACCGACTGATATTCATTCAATGATATTTAATAATGATATATTCATTTACGACAATAATATACATGCCTAAAATTTGGTATATGTGGCAGCCACTTTTAAGTGGAGCAAAAATTAAATAAGCGGATTTCAGGTGGTATTCAGTCGTACGTTAAAGGACTTCTTCATGAACTGTACGTGGAGTGCAGATCCGACAAGTTTCGAGGCGTGTGGTGGAAGTGTGGCGGCGAGGTGGAGTGCGGACGAGTCAATTTTTGCCGAATTAGCTGTTTTTGTCATCGGTTTCGTCAGTTTCATGTCAAACTTATTGTAATAATCGAATAACGTCCGCTGATGACCACTTTCGTTGCATTTCATTGCACATTTCAGTACTTCCTCTCAATCGTTGCCAGTACTTTACCCGTTCCTGCCGGTATCTTCATGCCAGTTTTTGTGATTGGCGCCGGAATGGGACGACTTATTGGTGAAGTGGTTGCATACAAGTTCCCGGACGGCCTCCGGGGCGATCGCCATATGCTGGTCTATCCGGGCATTTATGCTGTGGTTGGTAAGCATAGATACGTTATAATTATCGCACTGATTATCAGTGATGATTGATAGTATGGAGTATTGATACATCTTGAACATGATCTACTCTAGGGGCGTCATCATTCTGTGGTGCTGTAACGCATACAGTTTCAGTGGCTGTAATTGCATTCGAGTTGACCGGTCAACTTTTACATATACTACCTGTTATGGTAAGATTGTCGTTGTGATTAACTATTTTCTTCATTTATTCATCTGTAAATTTCTCAACCTTGAATTTTTTGTTTTTTATTGAAAATGAATGCAGATGACTAATTCAAATGCTTCTTATTTGCTTGCAGATTGCCGTTATAATCGCGAATATCGTTTGTTCATCGTTTCAGCCGTCGTTTTTTGATAGCATAATCAAAATTAGGCATTTGCCATATCTACCGGATATCCCGAAATCAACTTCCGAGTTAGCTGTAGTTCAACTTCTCAAGCAGTTTTGGCGCATATTTTTAATTGGTTCAACCTAGCAAGTAACTGACTGCAAAGAGGATGGAAAAAGATTAGTGGAGGCAGAATTGAGCAACTGCATTCATTTGCACAATCAATCATGTGGACTGTTTCAGAGTGCATTCAATTCGTGCCGAACAAATAATGGTCACCAATGTGAAGTTTTTGAGCAAAGCGAGTACATATGGTGAACTGCAAGATTTGTTGATTGCAATGCCTCGTTTGCGCGCATTCCCAGTTGTTGATAGTCCTGGTTAGATGAAGTTGACTGCAACTATTATAGTTATAGATTTGCCTGTAAATGAATACGACAATCCATCAATGCTTTCAGATGCTCGTATTCTTTTGGGTTCTATCAGCCGTGCTTCACTACTTCAACTACTGGACGCACAAGTTGGTGAAGTGGCTCGTCGAGCCGAGGCAGCAAAGCGTATCGAACAGGAACGTGAAAGTTTGGCATCTTATAGGTGATTGATTGACTGCTAAGTGATTCATTGATTGTTTAAATGCATACAGCAGAAATAAGTCGGTGAAGAAAGTTGAACGTGGTGATTAAAGTTATTCGAAATATTAATATGATAATTATTTGAATACGAGCCGCAACATTTTGTGACAAACAGGCAGATAGATGAAAAGATAATTTTTAAATATGAGCATTCAATTCCGAGGCTGAATGTTCCTCTGATTTAGGAAGAAGCCAGTGTTTAGTATAGGCTCACCTTCATCACCAGAAACTGCTCGCAAGAAGGCGGTCGAAAATTTTTTCGCCGATACATATGCGAAACCAACTGCACTTGACAGGTATATGCAAGTGATGCTGTGATCTAGTGACTGTGTTTGGAAATCGCTTGTTTTCAATAATACAGATGCAAACCGTTTTAATACTTATTCTTGATTTTTATTTTGAAATTGTCTACTCCACTTAATACTATTCACTATCATGATTCTAGATTTCGTCTCTTATCTTTGCATCCGTTGCATTGTTCGTTATCTAATCATCGTTTCGACAATCATCACAAAGGTGGCAAAGAAACAGATGATCAAGCCAAACATTCACACTCGAGCAAATTGAATGTAGCAAAGATAAGCTCAGCACCTCCTCCAGAAGAGATCAATTCAGCGGTCACTACAAAGCGTCTGAGACGATCAAGTAGTGCGTGTGACGTACAAATGAAACGTCATCACAATCACCATCATTACAATCATCAACACAGTCATCATTCTCATCATAACTACCATACAGCACTCAATCGTAAACGACTGCTCACCGTTCATTCAGCTCAAGAATTGTATACAAGTCTGGAGGGTTTCATTTTTGTCATTATTATTATTATTATTATTATTATTACTATCTTATTATTATTGTCTCTGTTGTCAATGACTTATTCTTATTCGTTTGTTGCAATTGAGCGATTCATTTGCAGGCATGATTAGAAGTTTCAAACAAACTTTTCGATATTCGAGGAAACGTCGTGTGAATAACGATTTATTGCCGCGTGAAGTATGCATATATGCGTATGCAACAAGCTTAATCATTATTATTTACATAACTTCCTGTCTTGTTGTCATTAATGTCTGAAAGAATGAGTTAGATCGAGAAGGGGAGTAACTTGCGATTTTATTGATCGATGGATAAAATCGCAGTGATCTTATCATATCATTTTAAGCGTCGTGACTGGGAACGCAAGCAGCTGGCTTGCACGGTGGATTTCGCGTCAGCAGTCATCGACCCAGCGCCGTTTCAACTCGTTGAAGATACATCCTTATATAAAGTTCATTCTATATTCTCCCTACTTGGCATTCGTCGGGCGTATGTCACCAAGTGTGGTGTACTCGTTGGTGTTGTCGCACTTCGAGACGTAAGTTCATTCGCATTCCCAATTAGTTTCTAATGAATTCGCATTTGATTCAGTGTTCAAGAAAGCTTAAAAGAACCATATTTTAGCATGAGACAGTTAGGAGTTTAATCATTTTAGGAAACAGAATAAATGATTCAAGAGAAAGAAAACTGAGTTGAGGAATGCTTACGGAACAATCAGTCAGTAGGAATTTTTCAGTTACGATCCGCAATTGAACGTGCCCAGTGGGGTGAATTAAATTCGAAAACGGAACGCATTGAAGAAAATGACGCAGAAGTGCCGGCGGTGGATGCCGAACGACGACTTTCTGCACACAGCGAAACGCATCAGACAGATCTCGATTCAGATACGGACGACGACGATTGCATTTTGGTGAGGAGTATAGAAACGCCAGCAATTTCTGCGCTCACTCACTGCCTTACTGCTCTCTAATCAACTAATTATCAAAATTCCGAAAGACTGAATTTTTTCAAAATGTTAAAATCTTATTAATTTTTTTGTTGTTGGAAAAAGTCACGTTAATTTTTTGATTTAGTATTTCAGCCTCTTTGCTGCTGTTTCTATCGTTGAACGCAGCGTTTCTACTTTATCTTTTTTTCTGTTTTAAGCCTCGTGTCGAGGTTGAAGAAACTACACCGTCAACATGCGAATTAGATCAACGACTACCAATGGCGATCTCAAGTCGTGATGGTTCGTCAGATCATTATATCACTGATGAGACTGGTGCGTATCTCATCAACTTTCAGTCGTTTTACTTTTCATCATGATCATTTTTCGCTGAACTTAGAATAACTAAAACAAATGATCGAACTAATCGTTTCATCAGTTAATCAATGAATCCACTGAAGTTTATTAAGTTTTGCAGATAATAGTACTAGTCCTATATCGCCGCTATCATCCAATGAGGATGGAAATATTGTTGCTGAAAGTGGTGCTATTCCTGATCCATCACAATCCAATTTGGAATCACCGCCAAGTAAAAACACCGATCCATCTTTACCAATGGAGTTACAGTCGTATTTGGATGCGAATTACGCGGACAACAACTATTATTCGGAATATCCAAGCGCAGAACCAACCGAATCGTCAGGAGAATGTACGGATACAGCAATAACAACACCAACCGAACAAATGGCTACAACAGAATCTAACATTGAGCCATTTGTTGTCATTGTACCATCGAAATCACCTGCAACTGTTTCAAAGCAGTTGAGGAAGATTATTGATGAGCAGCAGCAGCAGCAGCAGTCGCCATTAAAGTTGCGTTCTGTTTCATTTGCCGATAATTCCGCAACATATGAAAGTGATGATGAAGTATCAAGAGCCGTAACAAAGCCGACAGGTAGCGATGCAGCGAGTAGCGATAGCATTGATATAGCATCTCGCAGCATTACAAATGATCAAAATGGTCATCTTCGTCGCAGTCATAAGCAAAGTGCAAATCTCTGTTGCCATCATCGTAATTCTGCTTGTTTTGCTCAAGCAGATATCAACCAGGTAGAATTGCAGCCGATCACATACAGTTGTCATCATAACTCGTCATTCACCCAACAGCAAAGGGAACAAGAATCGCACCAGCAACAGTTATCTTTATCGATCGCTACCAATACATCATCATCATCCATTAATGCTCACGATCATGATCATGACAATAATTTACAGCAAATTGAGCGTCTCGAAGAAGGCGCTGGCGACGGCATCGAGCATGCAACAAGAAATTGGGACTGTATGGCAGAAAAGTGTAGCGTTTGGATTGATGATGAGAATAACGATGGTGATAGTTATAGAATCGACGTGATTAGATGCAGTTTGGATCCAGATGTTGAAACAGATATGTTGTTTGATGATGAGCTAGCAGATGACCTGCGAACGACAACAACAGCATCCAGCAAACTTCAAGCTAAGCCTGAATTCGAGCTTCGAGCATCTGTCGCTTACATCTCACCTTCTCTAACATTATCTCACGACTCTACTGAACTTGTAAGTGTTGCTGATACAGAATCTGATCATCAGACAGCATCAACGTCGTCTTCGTCATCATCATCATCTTCAAGTATCGATGATGTTAGCATTTGCTCGACAGTTGTTGGAGTTAGCCCCTCTATTAGTGAGGCGGGTGGTGGTGCAGCTGATGTTGGCGAATCATCGCTTTGTTCAGATGCATCCCTTTCATTCGTTGAACGACAACAACAAAGATCGTCATGCAGTAGTGATGAAGTGAGTCACGAACAACAAGAAGAGTTGATGACACAGTATATGAGCCAACGAAGTATATCGGATGTTACTGCAATGCAGCGAATCCACTGCGAAAGAGTGCAAAGGCCGCGACGACAACAGTCGCTTGTCAAACACGGTCATTATCACGATAAAACATCAACACTACCGCAAAACAGTTTACAGCAGTTAACAATGAATGCAGTTCAACAACACGATCATGATGAAATGGACAGTCAGTCAACAGAGTCATTGACAACAGATGAACATTTATAGAAGCAACAACTATTCAATGAGCAGTCATCGAGCTTGTTTCGTTCACTTCTTCCGTACTGACGATCGCTTATCGTGTTTACATTAATCTCCTTAAGATCTTAGGATCCTACTCAATTATATCTCGGAATCTCTCCCTGTCAATATTGCAAATCAAATATTATTATTCATCTCAACTTGTCTCAATCTTATCGGTCACCATTATTGCTGCTGACATTAGGTAGATTTTTGCGGCAACAGGTAGTTTATTGTTGTTGAAGGAACAAGGCATAATGAACTACTGTAAAACGACGTGATCGATATTTTGTATAGTTTAAATGACGGACACATTGTTTCTGTTATGTGTTGATCTGTATATATTCGACTAAATATTCAGAATTTTGGATATTTTGATATACTGAAGTTAAATCGTTCAATAATTATTTGTGGTTATCGATGAGGTTATTACTTTTACTTCGTTTATCAGTATTGGTAAGATTATTGATGCTAATGATGTGATTGTTTTTGTTATTTATTGTGATATAAACGATGGGAAGGTTCTGTTCTGATAAATACATTGATAATGGTAATCACAGTGAAATTGCATAATTAAGGTTATTGTCCCTAATACCTACAATCAGCAAGCACAGTGGAGCTAAGCAGAAGTACTGAAGCAGAATGCTGCCTACATTAATGAGTTTTTATCTAACTGATCGATAAACTGTCCATAATCCTCTTCACGTCGACTACTTTTTATGAGAGATTCGCGTTATTAATCATCTGACGTCAGTGTTGAAAATGAAGATAAAAACCAGTGGGCAGAACAATGATTCCATCGGACCGATGACTATACTTTGATCATTTTGACCGACGAACAGCATGGTAGTCTGTGATAGTGACTGCGTGTGATATAATTGTGCGGTCGCCATGTGATCATCATGTTGTTGTGTTTGCAATCATTATTTCATGTTGCAATTCAGAAATGAGCTCAGAATTATTGTTTGGATGACCGATTTCTTTTAAGTTACGGCTCATCACCATTAATCCATCGAACTTCATGTGCTCTGATAAAATATCTACGAAAGTTTGCTGCTTCCTTGAATTAACGCTGAATTTGAACACGAACACGTTGATAGATCAACTAACGAATGATGTTCGTCGATCATCATCCTAACTGCAGATTCTATCTTACAATTAGTCGCTGTAGAATTGTCAGCATGCAAAAAAATCCATTTTCGTTACTGCGAAGAAAATTGAACACTGATAGTGAGATTCGGTGGGGTGGTGCGCTTGAAATGGTGGATTGATAAAAGTTTGAATTATTTTGCTGAATGAACGGAAGTTGAACTTCACAAGCGATTCGTATTCTGGCTCAAAACCAGCCCAGATGATATCTGTCAATAAACGACTATAGATGGGATCAAAATGGTTTAGACTGGGCTTGTTATGTTTATTATTATTATTATTATTGTTATTATTATTGTCAGTGCTATTATTATTGTCAATATTATTATTATTGTTATTATTATTATTGTCAATTATTATTGTTATTATTATTGTCAACGCTGGCTGTTGCTAGAGGTACTATTGATATTATCATTGTTCCTGCCATTATATCCGTATTATTATCACGTAGTGTTTTATTAGCGTCGAGACTTTTGTTTTCATCAGAGTTACGGTCACAGTAATGGTTATTGTTAATTGTATTAACACTCGTGGAGTAAGTCTCGAAATAGAGCTTTTGGGCATGCGTGTTTTCTGGATATCTCTTCTCTCACCGTGTCCATCCACACTTTCTGCCACCGAGCATTCAATGGCTATCGTCACCTGTCACTGCTATCAAATGCAAAAAACTGTTCAAATGCAGTTTTACTTTTTTATTTGCAAATAAGGTGTTTGAATTGAAGGTGTTTACAGATACTAACATAGTTCCTTGGCGCATCGCATTTTGCCTAGACGTCTATGTTATTGCTTAATTGTGAGTCGAAGAAGTTTGGAACATAAAGGTGTACCTCGTCGGAATTTTTCATTCTTTTCCTTCGCAAAGTATCGCATAGACCCTGATGGCGCCTAATCGGGTTACATGGCGCACGAGCCAGAACCTTCCAGACTAATTGCTATCCCGTGGACGGCCGTTTTTTCGTGTTTGAAGTCATACAATGTGTAAACGCGCAGTCGCTATTTATAGCCGTCCATCTCGAAGCCGAAGTTTTTGTTTCCAAAAGCAGCCAGTTGTAAACAAGCGATATGTCAAGAGGTGCGATAATTTCCCATAATTTTCAAACAACTCTATTACAATACAAAAATAAAGAAACAGAACCAGCGTTCATTCGTTTCGTTTCTACCGAAAAGTTTATGGAGTAGTTCTGGGTGAACTCGTTCGACTGTATGACTTACAACAGCTGCACCCAAATCCATAATTTCTCGCACTTGCAACCCACTGCAGATAGTCACCGTCACAACACCTGTCACAGTTAAATCCGGTTTTATTTTTATAGCACATTTGCTTATGTTGAGGTTATTGAAATGGTTATCGCTTGCCACATTAGCAATGGCGTAGTTGTTTTTTTTTTGCTTTATCTTCAGCGGCACATAAGTAAGTGGCCATTGCGGTGAACCTTTATTCGGTGCAGGATTATCGTGGGTCAGATTATTGATGTTGTTAAAGAAATCTGTTAGTTCATTGTACAGTTGCATTTTTGATGCTCGCAACTTACAATTACCCTCGTTACTCATTTCCGATATGTACTCATCATCCCTTTCGTCATCTGCCACACCCCTATAGGATTGTCGTGATAGTAACAATAAAAATGTAGATTTAGAATATTTTGTGTACTTTCGTTTAAATGTATTTAAGGTGTGCAAGTGCGGTGGTTGTCGGCCGAGTTACGTTTTGATCTTATCTGAAGATTGGAATATTTATGAACAGAACTTTTTACAAGGTGACCATTGGAGGATAAATGCAGAACTGAATTGCTCAATCGGTCATTTAGTCAAGTGAACGTTCGAGCAATCACCGACCATAGTAATAATACGAATTTTATGGCTCCAAAGAAGCAGCGAGCGAGTGTAATCGATATTGCTTATTCAGCGTTATCAGTAAATTCTTGTGCAACAACTAATAAATTAATATCATCATCATCCTTATCTTACCCGTCTGAATCCACCACTCCAACTGTTTCAACAACATCGTCAACGAACCTATCAGCATTAAGTCATCATCATCATTTCAGTGGTTCGGTCATTTTTTAAATTTTAATTTTCATATTTTACCGTTTCGTGATATTTTTTCATATTTCGAGGTCTCTTCAGTGGACATAAAACAGCATCCTTTTTCAATCCATCCATCTTGAATCAGGTAATCATGCTAATAGTAAGGGCTCGAAAGCAATTGATCAAAGAGTATAAATAACAAACATTTTCAGATGCAAACGACTCGACGAGCTCCGGAGAACAATATGAGACGAAATGCCTGCTTTTGTTTGAAGCATGCAAGAAGGGCGATCTACAAGGAATGTTGAAGTATTTGAACGCGAAAAATGTTGATGAAGTTAGCTGAATTGCTGTTTCGATTAGTTGCTTGATTAATTGTTTGGTTACTCAATGACCGACAAATTATTACTAATTATTAATAGCAATTATTTATATTGATATTTTCAATAAACTTGAGGTGGATGTAAATGGACGACATTCAACGCCACTGCATGTAGCCGCAGGATTTGGTCGTTTGGAGTTGGTGGAGAAGCTGATAAGTTTGGGTGGTGATATATCGAAACGTGATGATATTGGCCTACAACCGCTGCATAATGCGTGTTCATTTGGGCATGTGGATGTGGTGAGATTATTGATTGACTCGGGTGCGTGTGTGAATTCATCTGACAATTGGGGTTTTACTCCGCTTCACGAAGCAGCTTCAAAGGATAAGGTCAGCGTATCTATTTACATTGTTTTAATGTGATATGTTTCGAATTTTGTGTTAACTCCAAAGAATTTGCAGGCAGACGTATGCGTTTTATTGCTTCAATATGGTGCGTCGCCGTACGCTGAGAACTCGGATAGTAAAACGCCAATTGAACTAGCCCGAGGCGATGCAAAAACTGTTTTCACGGGTAGTGACTCTTTTTATTAGTCTTGATGAGGTGATATTTTCATAATTGTGATTGAAGGTGATTATCGAAAAGAAGAGTTATTGGAGGCATCGCGTAATGGATGTGAGTTGACAGTTTCGAGACTCTTAACTAGATTCAACGTGAGTTGCCATGCTGATCAAGGACGCAAGGTATGTTATTATTATTATTATGTTAGTGCTGGTCATCATCATAATTATTGTTTCAGTCAACACCATTACATTTGGCAGCTGGTTATAATCGAGTGAATTTAGTGGAACTTTTGTTAAATAGAGGTGCGGACGTTCACGCTAAAGATAAAGGGTTGGTATTATCATTATTACTGTTCATATAATAGTAATTGTTAATATTATTGTGATTTTAAGTGGTTTGGTACCATTGCATAACGCGTGTTCATTTGGCCATATAGAAGTGGTGAAACTTCTATTGAAGGCCGGCGCACGAGTAAATGAACACGACCTGTGGAAATTTACACCACTTCACGAGGCGATCAGTAAAGGCAGACTGACGGTGTTTATTATTATTATTATTATTTCTATTATTATTATTATTGTTATGATTATTGTCGTTATCGTTGATTATTATTATTGTTGTTATCGTTATTGTTATGATTATTATAATTGTTATTATTATTGTTATTAGTATTCATGTAAATTTAAGGTAGCGTTGTTATTGATGCTTCATGGTGCGGATATTTTGCGCAAAAACGCTAACGGAAAGACACCAATAGATTTAGTACCTAATGGAAATTTTAAAAAACAACTTTTGAATGATTTTTATGGTTGTCGAATTTGTGAAGCGGCTTCAACTAGTGACATTTCTGCGGTGAGTTTTTTGTTTTGTTTTTTTTAAATTATTTTCAACGGCCAACTGATTGAGATATAAGTACTGTGAGCAAATAATTTCATTCGATGTAACCATCTTTGGTGATGCAAAATACAACGTTTGAGGTGTTAAAGTTTAGTCAGATGACCTACAAGATGCCGTTTCAATATTAAACTATAGAAACATAAATAAAATAATTCAAGTTACGAATATTACTGAAAGAACGTGATGCCAATTTTGTACATCCGTTCAAAATGGAATATCCATTACATGCGATCGTACGCAGTAAACAACACGTGCAGCGAGCTGCAGCAACTGAATTACTGATCGAGAAGGGATGCCCTGTTGATTGTTTCAATAATGAGTTTGTTTTTCTTTGTTTTTCTTTTTTTCAGCAAGATTGAGTTGATTTAGGTTGTGGATTATGAGGGATGACAAGCTTTTGCTATTTGCTATTCGGAGAAAAGGACGTTTATTTTGAGGATGACAAGCTCTTACTCAGGAGAGCGGAATTGTATTCGTGGAATCGAGTTTAAATTGTAGAATTAGACGGCAGTTAAATAAGACAAATTGAATTAGCCAAGTGGGAATTGAATCAGACCAGCTTAGTTTAAATCGTATTCAGGGAAGCGGATATATTTTGAAGGAGGATGCGGTTGTATTGGTTGGGAGAATTGGGCTGATAGTGATGGTAATCGCACGATGTGAATACAATACAACATAGTTTTTAAGATCTTGAAATTCGTTATTCTGATCGAAACTCGAAATTGTTCGATCGGAATCCGATTGATTACAACCTCTGTTGCACATAGCGAACTTATATTCAAAAGGGTGAACTTCTGTTCAAGAGAACTGATTTATAGTGAAAACAACGGGTGTATATCAAAAAGAGCGGTTCATATTCAAATGTCTGTGAGTCCATTCACGCTGTTAATGTCTCCAGTATACGACAGCCCGTGGATAGGGACCTACTTTATTGATTACAAGCCAACTGTTTTGTTTGTAAGCTCGTCTTTTGTGACATAAACCCGTCAATTACAATATGGACTCGACCACTACCATTGTCCTCAATATAAATCTGCCAATTCAGGTTATTAATTGCATTCTGTTCGATAAAAGCCCGGCCCATCTAATATAGACCCGTACACTTCAATGTAAGCTCACCTTGTTGGATATGAAGTGGTCTTTTTCAATATAAACTCGTCTCCTCAAAGAGGATCTCGTCTTCTTCAGTACCTGATCCCTGCAAGCCAGCTGCCTTTAATATAAGTCAATACTCTGGTACAGTGGTTCTCATGGGGGTGATTTGGGTGTGTCAGAAGGTAAACCTATCCCGGATATAAGTCCACTTCAATATAAGCACACTTCTTGGATACAGTTTCAATATAAACCAGTTCTCTAGAATATAAGCTCGCTTCTCCAATATGAGTCCATTTTGCCGAGCGTGTTCATCGCCCGTCCTGTAAGAGCGTGTTCATTGATCAAATTTTTTTTTGGAAAGGTATTGTTGTATGATTGATCATAATTGTTGTCATTTAATTGTAGTCAATTGACAGCGTTGCATTTGGCATTCGAGCATAATGCACTGGACGTGGCAGTTGTTCTTCTAAAGAATTGGGCTGCGGTCGATAAACTCACCCCGCAATCACGTAATATTCTGCACATTGCAGCTGCAAACAATAATTTAGAATTGTGCAAGTAGGTGATCACTCTTTCAGTTGTTGTTGTGTCACGCAGCATTTATTGTCATTGAAAGTAATTCTCATCATTAATGTTATTTACTGCTCTTGTGTTCCATAGACTTGCGTTGAGCTATGGTATTCAAGTGGACGTTCGAGATAAGAATGGGCAACTGGCTATTGATTTGGCCCAGTCGACGGTAGTTCGTAAATTCTTACGGGTGAGTCGGAGATGTTATGGTCACTGGTTATTACTACCGCTGTTGTTATTACCATAATTGTTATGCTGTACACAGGGATATATAAAACCGTCGGTTGGTGATGTCGTTCTATCATCTTCGTTACGAACGCTATCGCCAGATCGTGCAACCACTCAACCTGTTCTTCAGTCACAACAGATAAATAATAATAATAATAATAATAATAATAATAATAATAATAATGATTCAACAAGCACCAATACCAACACACCACCTCATGTGCCCAAACAAAATTCTACAGATGAGAATGATAATAGTCATGCAAAAATTCATAATTTCAATGGCGCTATAACGACAAGACCTCGAGAAGAGGCTGATCTGTTGGAGGCAGCAAAAGATGGAGATCTACTCCTTGTTATGGTCAGTGATTTTGAGTTATTATTATTTTTGTTTGTTTCATTATTGTGATGAGTAATTACATTGATACTATTTCAGTTAATAACATTTGAATTTTTCAACTAATTGAAAATGACACCATGCGATAGTTCATAATGGTATATAATTATAATTGAAGGAGCTTTTGGATGCGACGAACAATCGCATAATAAATTGCAAAGATGTTGATGGACGGCACTCAACACCGTTGCATTTTGCAGCTGGTTACAATCGAGTTCAGGTGACTCGTTTATTGTTGGAACGAGGTGCGGACGTGAAAGCACTGGATACTGGGTATGAAGTTGATTATTCATTTGTGTTTTATGAGAGCAGCATTTTGTTATCATTATTGTTATATATTATTATTCAGTTGGTTGATTCCTTTGCACAACGCATGTGCTTATGGGCATTTGGCTGTAGCGGAGTTGTTGATTGAGGTGAGTTTGAATAACTGCATACCTATTCATTTCGTTATTATGAGTTATATTTATTGGTATTGTAAATTTGAGTATGGATCTGATGTGAATGCAGTAGATCGTTGGAAATATACACCGTTGCATGAGGCGGCTTTGAAGGGACGTTTCAAAATCTCGAAGTTATTAATTTTAAATGGTGCAGATCCAAAGAAGAAAGGTCGCGATGGGAAAACGCCTCTTGATGTTGTTAAAGAAGGTCTCCGAATTGCATTTTTGTTGGCTCCTCATTCGCAAGATTGTTGTTCCGTTTATTATTATTATTATTATTGTCTAATTTAAATATTTTATTATTGTTGTTAAATATTATCATCGCAGGTGCTGAAGATGTTGCTGATCTATTGCGCGGTGAAGCAGCCGTACTGAAATTTGCAAAAAAAGGTGATGTAGAGAAAATGAGAAAAATTTTAACACCAATGACAATAAATTGTCGTGATACAAACGGTCGCTTCTCAACACCATTACATTTGGCGTGTTAGTAAGATGCATATTCATTATTATTATTATTATTATTATTGAGATTCATATTATTGTTATTACTTATTATTATTATTGTTATTATTATTATGGTTATTGTTGTTTGTGTTATAATGCGTTGCTATTGGTAGGTGGTTACAATAATATCGATGTGGCACGTCTGCTTTTGGAGAATGGTGCAGAGGTGAATGCACAAGATAAAGGCGGTTTAATTCCGTTGCATAATGCAAGTAGTTATGGACATCTGGAGATTGCAGCGCTGTTGATTGAACACGGCGCGAATATTGATCAGCGAGATAAATGGGGTTTCACACCACTTCATGAGGCTGCGCAGAAGGTTTGAATCGTTGGTTTTTATTTGTTATTGTTGATTGATATTCCTTGCATTCAGGGACGCACGCAAATATGTTCACTGTTACTGAGTCATGGCGCTAACGTATATGCCGAAACGCTTGAAGGCCATCTGGCGATCGATTTCGCAAACGCAGCTGATACAAAGCAACTTCTAAAGGCCGGTGATTTTATTATAATAATGTTGATGTTAACATCAGTACACCACTCAGTTTCGAGCAAAAGCTCCCCCCTGCGGCATACCAATTACTGGTCGGGGCTCCAACTCTGAGCTCTCCCGGACACCGTTCAGCCTGGCGTCGAGCGGTTGTGTTGAGATTGCAATCAGTTCTTCAGTGCACATAATGCGAAACTGATCTGATGAGCCTGAAACGCTACAATCCAAGCGAATTGATCTGTACGCGAGCACGATAACATAAACAGATAATTAGATATCAGCCAAACCATTGCCTGGCTCAGTATTGATGTTACCACCATTTTGTCCATTTCTGTATGAATTTTCTGTCCTTTCGCGAATCTCATCAAATATGCAGTTTGACTGTGTTCGATTATTTGTTCTTTATATCCATTCCGATGTTTCAATCAATCATTCTGTTATTTTGATTTTCGCGGAATGTTGAAAATACAGTGAAGAAATGTATTCAGGACGCAATGCCGACCAGTTTTACGCAATTACCAAATGTGCATATATTGGGGCCTCATGGAAGCAATAACGATAACCGAAAAAGTCATCATCTTTGTAATCTGAGAATAGCGACAGCAGGAGATAATAATGATAAGGATGAGGATCATGGCAGTAGCGATAAGGATGATGATATTCTTAATAATAGTGATAAGGACGGAAATGGTGAATTGAACGACAACGACGAAGAGGTTAGTGATGGTTGTTGTCATGGAAAAGCAAAATAATAGCATTGGTAGTGATCGTCTTGATGGTTTTTAAATGCAGAAGCAAGAAGACGACTCTGAGCAAGCAAAAGATACTGACATTCAACTAGAAATTGATGCTGAACAGATGCTCGATGAACAGCTGAGTGACGATTATCAGACAAGCGCGACATCTTCGTCTCAAATGGCAACAACTCACAAATCTCAGTTATTTGCCCATCAAAGAATGCGTCAGTTTCTTGCCTCATTATATCTGTCACATCTCGAACCGCTTTTCATACAAGAAGCAATCACAGTCGACTTGTTAGCAAATATGTCACATGAAGATCTCAAAAATATTGGTATTCAAGCGTATGGAACACGTTTTGCATTGCTAAAAAATGCCGAGCAGTGGATGCGAGGAAATGCAGGTGAGTAAATGGGAATCTGGATGGAAGAATAGATTATTTATGTGATTGTTATCGTTACTTTTACAGCTGGTTGTTCATCGGTGGTTAGCAATAAGAATGCTAATGCAGTAACCAACGCGACATCATCAGTATTAAACACGAAGCCATCATCATCACATGAATATTTTCATGGTACTATCCTGGTACCGTTGTGTTCATGGCATCAAGAATTCCGTAGAGTTGAGGAAGGTGTTAATGATACGCTTGTGCTACATAATGATTCCACTGGGCTTGGTGGCATCTATACCAGATTTGAAATTGTTGAAATACAAAAGGTGCTCAATAAAAAACTACGTGAAAAGTAGGTTCATTTTTTAAATTATTCCATTATTATTATTATTATTATTATTATTATTACTTTATCTGTTATAACTGAAGATATATGCGTCGTCGTGCGGATATAGCTGAAGAGAATGATGGTGAAGCAAACGAGAAGATGCTTTATCACGGTTCACCGTTCATTCACTCGATCGTGGAGAAAGGCTTTGATGAGCGTTATTCATATATGGGTGGAATGTTTGGAGCTGGTTAGTGTTTATAGCTGTTTATTGTTATGGTTGTGAGGTGACAATTCGTTTGCAGGCATCTATTTCGCGGAACATTCAAGTAAAAGTAATCAGTATGTGTATGGTATTGGTGGAACGGGCTGCAACAGCCATAAGCAACGATCTTGTTACGAATGCATTCGCTATCTGCTGCTGTGTCGTGTGGCACTTGGCAAATGTTTTGTTCATGTTCGTTTATTTCTTTATTGTTGTTGATTATTACGCGTTCACTTCTTTTCTAGACAACATCAAATAAAATGGCTCACTCACCGCCAGGTCATCATTCGGTTATGGGGCAGCCATGCGCCGGTGGCTTGAACTATCCGGAGTATGTTATCTATCGTGGCGAACAGGCATGCATATTTTTGTCATTATTATTATTATTATTATTCATATCTAGGTTATTATAATAATTATTGTTACTTTGTTTTTATGAATAATTTAATTGTTATTTGTCGTTATTATTGTTACTAATATTATTTGACAATATTATTATTGTTGTTGTAAATGTCATTATAATTGCAGGCCTATCCTGAATACGTGATTGCGTATCGATTGTCAAAATTAGGAATATAAAAATATTAAAAGGTATATATTGACGGGTGGTATTAGGATGTATTGAATTATATTATCATTAAAGGATAATGCTTGTGCACAGCTATGGATATGGATATATTTGCAGCTTATGGCGAATGACTTAAGCTAATATTTTATGATTGTCACTGTTATATTGATATGTATTATTCTGTGTGATCGACTCTCTTAACATAACCGCACGTATATAAATTTTGAATCTCGGTGCTGTATTATCACATATTCATTTGTCTTTCTTCAAAACTCCATGATGAATTTGTTCATTCGTTTTCACATCTCATCTCACTGTCATCCTATAATTTGTATATTTTTGTTGCTCATGAAAACTGCTCTCCTCGTTTGACTTCAGTAGAATACAGTTATACTATAATGCATTTGAAAAGTGTGGACACGTATGGATGGAAACTGTTTTTAGCAGACTGTTGATAAACCTTCGCCAACATTCTGCTAAAATCTGTTTCCATTTGTTTGCACCATGCGATTTGCGTATATTGAAAAATTGGTACCCGGACAATTTGCCTAAAGACGTTTTGCCTAAGGACAGTTTGCCTAACGGACGGTTTTTTAATGAATATTTTGCCCAATAGGCAAACTGGCCTTAGGCAAATTGTCCGGTGACGTGAAGAATTTAGCGACACCATTGGAGGTTTTTTCCTATTCACTTCGCCATATTTTTACATTTGTGCGCACTCTTAGGAGGGGTGTTGTAATGTGAGAAAGGATAACGTTTATTGTATATGCGAAGTAGTTAGTGATGAATGAAATAGTGTTCTAGATAGATAGGTATTCGAAAAGAAATGCGTTTTCGCTCGTTTTGCGACTGATTGTTAACACTTTTTGGATAGCACATAATAGCAAAATAATTCTCACTGAAGTTTGATTTCACTTTAATTGCTTATTGCAACAAATGACGTTAGTCAAGGCACTGTTGAAGTCAACGCAAAGCTCGATTCAATCCGACATCTTCCAGTTTCTTAGTTCTTCATGCAGTTCTAACACATCTTCACTGAAATTTTACTTTTGCAATTTTTAATTTCTGTTACGTCGTTGTACTTGTTTACCTGCTTATTCGTCTCATTTACTCGTTCATGATTATTATCATGTTCATGTTGTTTTCAACGAATCGACGACTCATTGAAACGGTTGCATTCGCTAATTAGAGTGTCTCGAAGAAGTTAGCGCATTGTGGCGGCGTTCCATCAAGTATTATTGTATTTTTTAAATGGTTATCGTTGATCATTGCATTAATTAATTTATTGAACTGATATATACATTCATTATTTGTTCATTCGAAACAAATATATCAAACGAAGTGTTTGATGTTGCTATTGATGTTGTGGAGAAGGTTGTTTTCCTTCGAGAAACTTTATTCATATCGGACATTATTATTGTTGTTATTATGATCATTTCATTTCGAATCAACCCAATTTGCACGGCTGCAAAGTTCCTTTTTTGCGAAGTCGGGTCGAGATTCACAAACCGGCATCCTGAAACGAAAAGAAATCGGTGACGGCGAGCGTGTGACGCGTTTGGGCGTGTTTTGCCGTTCAGGCGATGAATGCCACAAACACCCGCAGGCGCGTGCGCACACTTAGTTTTCTGTAGAAGAAGCGTTGAAATGTTGATGATGTGTGTGTGTGTGTCTATTGGTTCATTTACTTTTCAGTTGACATCATCTGGGTGTGTTCGATAAACATCAGTTTCGTAAAGATGTGATTATTCACCGTTGTAGTTGGTGCGAGCGATTGAGCACATTCAGTGCGATCAATCCGAAAATTATGAAGCAAAAAAACGAACGGAAGATATTGCAGCAGTGTGTAGACGATGGATTTTAGAAGGAAACCTTTCATGGCACCATTCAAATTGTGGCAAACGCCGCTAGGACGTCGCCAACCAAAATTGCGGCGACGTCACAAATAGAATGAAACGATTGCTGATGCTGCAGCAGCAACAGCAGGCCAACCTTCATCACAACGATTAGATCGCTCGCACGCTCACCATACTGCATATACAAACAGACATGTATTTACTAGATATGTGTGGTCGCTTGCGTGCCAGCGAATGAATGATCATCCTTGCTCGTCAGCGACGTTTTGCGCTCGCTCTCATATTCGTAATAAACAGAGAGAGTAGAGCGTGTCATCGTTGCTTGCGTGCGCTCTGTTGTTCGTCAATTCCTTGCTGTGCCCTGCCTATCGTCCACTTTGTGGCTCTCTTCAATTTATCGGTGATTTTAATGAATTACGTTGGAAAGTTCCATTTCAGTAGTCATTATGGCAACTTTCTAGTAATCAGTATGATACGAAGGAAAGATATCGTCGACGCGGATTGCTTCTTGCACCTATTGATTTTGTCTTTTTCAACGGGTGTCTCTTCAGTTGCTATCGTCATTCTTTAGCTCTAAAAATATGTTTACTCAAACATCATCGTTATTCATTGCCATTTAATATCATTATTATTGTTTTTACTGTAAATACTGTACTCAAGCGCTTATATGTTGATTAGCTATGAAGCGGAAGCAGCATTTACACGAAATAATTGAACGCTCCATAATGATCACTTTGTGCATGGATGGTAGTGACGGGATCCAACCCACAGTCGGTCGGAAAAATCCGACAATTTCGGTCAGAATTCGGAATTCCGACTGTAGGAACGGCGAAATGCCAATTCGGTCGGAATTCCGACCGAACAGTTTGGAAAGTCGGTCGGAATTCCGACTGTCGGAATGACGAAATGCCAACTCGGTCGGATTCCGACCGGACGAAATTTCACTCGGATCCCATCTCTAACGGATGGGTGCATGAAAGAAACTCGTCTATTGTTGACCATTACCTTATTAAAGTGAAGAGATTTGACGGATGAATATGGATCTATATATTGGGTTATTTGTTCATTTATTCAGTTAGCAGTTGCATTAACTCATCACTTTTACAGCACTTACCATTAAACCTGTCTCACACAGGTAACGTCATGATTGCTTAAAATCATCAAAATCATTGATTTAGCAATCACAGCGTCATAGTTTTATGTTAAAGGAAATTTGTTCCATTCATTGATTTTCTGGATGATGAGTATGAGAAAAGGATTCAGATCACTTCTTATTTGTCTTGATTCGTTTAATTATTGTTTTTGTCATATGATTACAGGTGATGCTATTATCATTACCATTATTACTACTATTATTGTCATTATTATTATTATTACCATAATTATTATCATCATTATTAATAATATTCCAATAACGCGATGCTTGAGCAAAATTATTTGTGTGATCGACAATTAGAATAATTCATTACGACTTTATGCCTCCTTCCCTGTCATCAAGTTTTTCCTCTGTTGACATCTTTATTTCCTTTCACATTGCTGACAATATTAGATGATACGAGACTTAGCAGAGTTTGGAACTATTGCGCGAATTATTCTCGTAACACACGATCGCTGGATCACTTTTATTGAAGCTGCAGTTATTGTTCTCTTTATCACTATGAAGTATTATTGCATTACTTTTGGTTCGTCGTCGGTAAAGTATTATTGGTTTGTCTTATTCATATTTTTTGTATCTTAGCTCTTGCAGTATAATGGTGGGAAGATGTTAATTCCTAGTCTGGTTGTTGCTTAAGAATTTGTAATTTTCATCAGGTTTAATTGTCTTTTGCTGAGAATCAGTTATGTTATAAAGTTCCGCTATGGTATGAATAACTTCTCACATGGACTGTTCATTCTTTTTTTGCAATATTTTTATGGCCAAAACTGATATCGTTTTCAGATGTTTATGTGTTACAAGCAAATTGTTAGTAACAGATATTGTCAACCTCATTGTTATAATACCATCATCACAACGATGTTTTCGTTATCATTGTTTTTGTCATATTAGTGCACTATCACAATTATGAGTAACTATATCACTGTTTTTAAATGCATTTTTTACGAATGCGCCTACTCTCTTTACTAACTAGTAATTTTTAAAGTATCATTCACAAAACAGTGTTGATAATTGTTTTATAAACTTGTGTGGGTTCTTGATGTATACCATCTATTGTGTGAGTTATTTCTATGACACCTTAAATATTCAGTAAAATTAGGGGTTATATGATATCTAGTGATTAAAACTTATCATACTGGATGTTTCTTAAGTCTGAATACGTAGTGACGAAATGACTTAGAATAGAATGTTATGAAAAGCTTATATTCTTCGAAATATACATTATAAATATTTGCTTAGGCGTTACTTCGGATTATTGCTCATTGTGCCGTATTTCCTCTATCTAATGTCAAATGGACATTAGTTAGGAAGAAAGAACCATGTTTAATGGAATTCTCCGTTAATCCAGACTCCGTCAATCAGTTATTGCAGCAAGTTGGAAGGTTCGATGAAAGGAGTAACGGGCGGCTTTTAATACAACTGAGCATTAATTCATTACGCTACTGTGTCGAAATTTTTACGACAAACTATTGCATCCAATTAAATTATTATTAGTTGTTTCCGAAAATTCGATGAGGAAAGAGAAAGTCATATTGAAAAGCTGTTGAGGTGTGAGAAAGTCTGAACGAAAAGTGAAGTTGGGATTATCGAAAACGTAAATAGCAACGAAACCGCTGAGCTTTAGTTCATTACGCAACTCAGAGTGAGATTTTCGTGGTATAGTTAAAAAACAAGTTACGATGATACAAGATTATCGAGCAGAATGAGTGTCGACCTAAACGTATCATTAAGTTTGTTGAAAAAAAAAAGAATCCGAATGGTATAGCAATGTAGCAACATTAATGTTATTGAGACTAAGCCAACAACAGGATGTGATTTTTTTTGATTTGAATGTAATTATCAGTTGATTGATTATTGATCACGAGAGGGATTGATTGCTTTGCAGTAGATGTTTTTGGAACGAAATGGACTTGAGGTTAAGTAAATGCAGTCGTATGAGCTGAACTCGATTTGTTCTTCTCTTCAGTAGTCGTATATGAACATGTTTCATAAACACATTGATTTTGATGATGGTGCCGCTTCATTTTATTTATGTGTTATTGTATAACGATCGATCGAAACACGGATGGTTGCAAAGAAGTTACTGAATTAGCTTAATGTAATTCACTTGAGGTATCTTTTATTCCTATCATTCGCATTCTCATTCATTTATTTATTATTATAATTAATTATTATGGTTAACATAAATTATGTTATTCTTACTCGTTATTGCTATTATTATCATTGTTATTATTGTGCATTTATGCGTCTTCAACAAGCAATAACGAATGGACTGCTCACAATCAGGTCAGCTCGTTTGACTGAGAAGTTACTAATAATTCGGTTTGAATGATTCGTTCAATATATATTTCACTTACTGCTTTGTTTTATTTGTTGGATATTGCTCTACTACTACGTTGTGGTTCCATACTGAACAGTTTAAGGGGTTTGAAAGACTCACTTCAAAATCATACGATTCAGATTACGTTTATTGAACAAGTGAAAAGGCGAGTATCATCCTTTGTGGGGTAAATTTTCACTGGTTGACTGAAATTAATATCGCTCTGCCATGATTATTACTATATTGGTATTATTAGCGGTGTTATAATGGTCACACTTTATCACACTTTATTGCTGATATTTGAAGGAAGGTAGTTAGCTTCGTACACTATGTTTCGGGTCATTATTCTTACTGAATGAATATAATTGTGAAGCTGCTCTTGGATAATGAGCAACTGCCAGGGAAATGCCCATAAATCAACAAATCATTTCACTTAATGGTTTTCGTTTTGAACTTTTAATTGTCCCGACATTGATACCGTCCGAATCATCAGTAATTTGATGCTGGATTGATGATATGAAATACTAACATTACTTACTGATTTGTGATCACTACTGTTATTGGTTTTATTATTATTATCAACTTGATTAGGTAGTGATCTGAAATATAAGCAAGGAATTAGTCCGAAGATAAAATGTGATTGATTATTATGGATTTGTGGATGATGAGCAAAAACACTTTGTAACGTTGAGGATGAAACTATGGGAGTATCATTTTCTGGAAGGGTTTCGTACTTAGAATCCGGCAGAGCAATCCGTTAACTGAAACAGTAATTAAATTTGTATTGTCAGCTTAAAATATCAATAGTCAATAGTCCTGGCGATAGATTGTTTGTAGAGCTCAAAAGTGTGAGAACACAATGTTTGATTGGAAATAGAGTTAACTTCTGAAACAATGCTTATCGTTAGTTAGATTGTCTCAATCTTCAGTATGCCTGAAAATTCTAGAATTTGGTTGTGATTTGCTAGCTCATTATCCCAGCAGCAGCATTATGATGGAGCCTGGTTATTAAGCATTTCCAATTCCGAATTCATTGCAAACAAAACAAATTTGATTGAACGCTGTTCAACAAGTCGAAGGATGCTAAGGAGCCATCAGTATCCTTGCATGAATGTATCCGATTATGCTTGAGAGCATCACGAAAAATCCCGCACAACTTCGATCGGAACTGTTTGTAAACCGAGCAAATTTTTGCCAAAGGAACAAATTTACCGAGAATTTTGTTCGTAAATTAAAACGTTTATAAACCGATCTTCCATGATGTGAACATTTCTGAAATGAAAGGCGAATAGGATATAATTGGGATTGCATTTTAACCATATATATATATATATACTCACATCATCGTCTGTCATTATTCCACTTCTTCGGATTTGACTGGGATTATTTCCTAGTCACATGTTTTTTTTCACTGTTCCACTTCTGTCCTCTCTAGTTAAACTTCTTAACAAATAAAGTGCAAAGATGAGAATATCCATCATTTTCTGATGAAGAATCAAGAGAAAATTGACTCAATGCTTTGTGCATTTTTTGTTCTCTTAGTGGTCAAGTCGAAAAGATAGCCAAAAATTACGAACTCGATCGCTTGAATAAGTCAACTTTCATAATATTCTCGCACAAACTGAAGGATATACTGCTAATAATACGATCAATTACGTGGAATCCGAAAATGAATTCGGTTTATCGTTGTGGCATTGTTTCAGAAAGCTCGTTTTGAAGATAACAACGGTGTGTATATTTACCCCACAATCACGTCTACGTTTCAACTCTCCTAAATTATTTCCCTGATTTGGTTGCAACGCGTAGTCTATGTTTCTTACAATTAGTAGGCGAAACTGCTGTCGTCCGGAAGAAATAATTTTATGAACTTAGCTCTGTTACCTTGCGCCTTTAGTTGAAGAACGATTAGTGTTAGAGGAAATTTGATTGCAGATTCGGATGCTGCATATCGGACTGCACTGAACTAAAAAAAATTCCTACGGTTTGTGTGAGGATGGAAAGTTGACTTTTTAGGGCAGCGAAATTCATAGTTTTTGGTAAATTTCAGGACATTGACGGTTCTGCAGGAGAAAAAAGCTGTACATGGTGGTGAAGAAAAGTTCATTTTGTGGATTCTGCGTACAAAACTCGCAGAAAATTACCTCAAATTAGCATGATTTTTTCTTTGTTGCAGTGTTATTAGTCAGTCGATGTGAATTTCTCGAAGCCTACTTGTAAATTCGAATATACAAACTCATTCAGCCATGTTTCTTAATTATCGTTCGTGTATTCATTCATGCGATCGAATCGATTAAATCGTGAACATTAGTGCATTACGCGAATTAACGTTTTGTTGCTTTCTTAAGAGCTGTCATCGCACAATAAACAGCACATTGCAAGAAAAGCAGCAACAATAAGAACACGAAACAAAATAAACGCTAGTACACGTCAAGAGAAAAGAAGGCAGGCGTGCGAAGCAGCAGCTGGTCGTCGTCCGGCAACAATAGCCATCATACACTATCATGTGGGGCATTGAAGATAGCGCAGAAACGATGGCTATGAATCCATGGAATGTGCGTTCGTTCGTTATCGAATTGTTTAGTACTTTAACCCAAAATGCAACCAATCAGTATTGTCGTTTTAAAATCCACTTAACACTATGCAAGAAAATAAAACCTTTTCAACACGAACTTGAACGTAAGTATTCCGGCAGCCTGAAGTACGTAATATAGTTGGATGAATGAGCTGATAGTATGAAAGAGATTAATCAGTTCATGCATTTGTAGGGGGTGGCACAATCACAAGTATGGCCAGCAATGGGACGAGGTGTTTCAGCAGCCGGGGGAGGAGGGGCTGGGGGTGGAGCGCAAGGAGGATCATTTCGTTTAGGCGGTGGTGGAGGTGACTCGAGGACAGGTGCGGGTGCAGGAGGTTCAGGGGCTCGATCATGGATGGATCATCAAGCAGCGGCTNGCTGCGGCAGCTCAAGCCGCAGCCGCTGCAGCAGCAGCTCAAGCTCAAGCGGTAGCACAAGCACAACAACAGGTTACAGCAACCAGTATGTCTGGAGGTGCTGCACAATGGCAAAGCCAGCAGACTGCAGCCGGTGGCTTGGCTGGGGTTGGCGTCGGTGGTGTAACGCAGCAATGGCAATTACCACCAGCCACAGCAATGGCAAGTCAGCCTGTGACAGCCAGCAATAATCCGCAGCAACCCACGCATAACGCATGGCAGTTATCACAACAAGCTGTACGTTTTGTATGTGTTTACTGGTGGTTTGTTTGTTTGAGTAATGCATTGCGGCAAAGGAGAAAAGTCACGCACAAAATTTACCCTCCTGCGATCCGAAAATGTGTAGTCGCTCTGAAAAAAGTTGGAGACGAGGAACTTGGGTGGAAAAACCCCTAAATCGAATTCTCCCAGTAGATGTAATTTTTGAACTGGAATCAGTAGACCCCCGAAAACAGGAATATCTTTTGGAAAAGAATCAAAAGAAGCAATCTATGATAGAACAGAGAATAACGCGGAACACAATGTTGTTTCAACAATAATATTTGATTGGATCGCACGAAGAAATAAATAATGCATAGCCATTGGCGAGAAAAAAAAGCAATAAAAGAAAAAATAAGTTAGCGACAGTTGTACGAGGGCAGTTCCCTAAGGTACGAAGCAGTTCTCATGGATTTATGTGAACGGTCTTGGTGATGTCGCTTCAAATTCACGTTTTTGAAGCATTGATCCGACTTTGTCAGTTTTCGGGAAATTCCTCGAAAATTTTCGGGGAATGGTGATCCCCAACAATTCTGAAAGAGTCGAGAACGAATTGTGCAGTTGGGGACCTCGAAAATGCTGCCATCTTGAAAAGAGTCGAGGACAGGGTCTCCGAAACTCTCCATTTTCCGTAACACGCTACTTTATAATATTGTTCATTGCAGTGGGGTGCTTCATCAAATCAGCCAAGTGGAACGTACGCTGAACAAGCCAAAAAGAACATGGGTGCACCAATGGGTGGTCGGGCACAGGTACGATGCTATGACCAGCCACAGTCATGGGGTGGCTTAAAAGTTGATCAGGTACTTATTCTCTTTTTTCGTGATCTTTGAGTTTTTGCGTTTATCGATTTGAGGTCATAATATTATTAGTCATGAGTATAAATTGATTGGATTTTCGAGTAATAGTATTCTAAACTGCAGCAAACTCCATGGGATACAGGTAACGGTGCGGGAACTTTACACGGCTCAGATCCAAAAGGTGATTGGGGCGGAGTTGGTGCGGCCGCAGCAGCCGCGGCCGCAGCCGCTGCGTCACGTTGGAGCGTTGGTGGTGCGCCCGGAGGGGCAGCACAACCGTGGACAGCATCTGCAGCACCGCACGCGGCAAGTGGCTCGACCACCGATTGGCCACCGCCAGTACATCATCGACACGACCCCACAGGTACAGCACATTGGGTAAGCAACGCACAGCCGCATCCGGCCGCCGCTGCGGTGGCCGCAGCCGCAGCGATGGTGCAAGGAGGTGGCGGCAATATGCCTGGAGCTGGAGCGGCATCATGGGCACAACCACAACCCAACCTGCCAGCTCCATCGGACCAGGTTGGTGGTCAAATAGTTTTGGTTAGATGCGTTTGTTTACGTCGATGATGAGTGTTCTATTGTGTGCCCAACTTCAGTACGACCCAAATCCACAAACACCAGGACCATGGGTGGCACCGCAGCCAGCAGAAATGAATAACGATATGATGTGGCACGATCCGAATCCGAAGCAAAAGAAAGTGCAACGCGATACTGGTACATCGGTTTGGGGTGATCCCAGCTCACAGCAGGGTGTAAGTTATTGAGTAATTGCCACATATGATCACACTATTGCATTCTTTCAATCGTTTGTTTGTCATGCAATTAGTGATTGTTTCAGCAAGAAATTAAACGATGGAAAGACGCCGATATGGAGGATTATTCGCATGTGCCATGCGCAGCACCGAGTGGCGGTGACTGGAGTCAGATTCCCGTCTCGTCAGGCGCCGTTAGTAATGCAGCGTCACCGTCGTGTCCAACGAGTACCACGGGTCCTGGTCCAGGAGTAGCAGCAGGCGGTAACGGTAACGGTGGACCAGCTGCAACGGGCGGGTGGGGTGAAACTCAACAACAGCATCATGCATCGCAACAGCAACAACAGGGTCCAACGGCCGTTTTAGGGCCGCCAACAACGCCACATATCAATGATGGTACCGAACGGTGGGGTGCTCCACCGCAAACGAGTGCTTGGACGAGCGATGCGACAAGCGTGAAGGTAGGCTGTTTGCTGGTTGATCGCTCGACTGACCGATGGCTTTGCGGGCTGGATTGCTGACTCACTGAATTTGATTGTTTATTTACTTGAGTGAGTATTGAAAGGACATGAGATGCGGTTTTGATATGAGCGTAACTGATCAGTTCGCAGGTGATAGGTATTGAGTGGTACCAACAATACCAATAACGATTTTGGACAATTGGCATCTGAAGTGCTGCTGCGAGCATTGATCTAGTTGTTTGGTTCATCTTTCCATTGCGTTCTCCTCTCTCAGCAGCCGCATTATTCATTAATTAGGCGCTGTTGATCTCGTTCCATTATTCGCACATTATTATTCATTTTGTTATTTATTTCGCCGTAAAGCAGTCGCTGTTATCACTTCATCATCCAGTAATTGCATTTGCGATGTAAGTATGAGTATTAGTTGTTGCCTGTTTATATGTTCATCTGTTTGGTTGAAAAATTAATCGATTGAACCGGCAGAAGACTGGTTATAAAACTTAAGCAACATGAGAGGTATTCTTCGAGAGTTCGGGAAGGGGCTGAGATGATTATTTCTTGGCGATTGGTTTTTCGTTATTTTTGACGAATTATCACTGTTATTATTTTGCTTACTTCTTAGCTTCAGTTTTGTTTTGTCTTTTTGTTTTGTTTTCATTTATTTATTTGTGTGTTCTTTTTGCTGCTGCATGAAACAAACTGCACTTCGAATCGAATTTGCAGGTTGATCACCGGAGCGATTTTGGACAATTGGCGTCAGATTTGATTGTTAGTTATTATAGTAATCATTATTATCGTTATCATTTTCCATATTATTTTATTTTCGTGGCTTTTATTCGAAATTTCAATATTCATTTTAATTAGGGTTGATAAGATTCTCATTTTTACAATACGACGAATACGTGGTAATTACATACCCGTCCGCTGTCGCATTTTAATGCGTGTGCATGTCAAGTATCTAAATACTGTTTAAGTGCAAGTGTTTGTGCCTGTATAAAATTTGCTCATTCCTTCTAATTTATATTGTTGTGCTTTGTCCATCGCGATTTTTTGTAACCTTTCGCAAGTCTGTAATATCTTTGAGTATATTGTTCAGCATTAATTTATTTGTTTTGTTTTTCCCTCAAACGATTGATTGGTACTAACAATACTAATAGTAATAGTGACTATAGTTTTCATAAAAGAGGAGAGAGAAAACGGTATAGAAGGATATATAGATGTGATAATGCAAACGTATATTGTGGTCTTTTTGATACTGATAGTAGTCGGTTATGATTATTTATTTATTGGAAGGCGTATTGTTACAGTTATTGCTAAAGATGAAATGAGGATGGGTATGAGGCGATGGATTTGATATCGGTTTATTTATTGATTCATTAGAGAAGTAGTTATTTTGAAGTACTTCCAAAAGTTATTATTTGCGTGCATTTCGTTTTATAGTTTTCATATTTTTGCTTTTTCGTGTTTTTTTTTCTTCATCATTTCTTCACAAAGTTCAGTGCAATTGTTTATTTATTATTGTTTCTATTTCTTTTCACAACGAGGATCATGTAAATTTCCCTATTCTTGCTATTCGGTCTGCTAACTGTTTTTGTTTTTTCCAGTCATTATTGCTAATCGTTCATCTAATTCATTTCTTTTTAATTGTTCATTCATCAACTTATTTTTGAGAGCAGACTAGAGTTAATGAGGAAATGTGATCAACAAGAAAATGATGATTCATTCCGTTAAGCTATTATTATACTTTAATTGGTATCTTATATAATAGAAATGAGTGATATTAAATGGGATGGATATTAATAGTAATTATGCTAATCGAAAACGTCATTGTGATGAGGCTGAGAGCAAGGTGTTGATGGAGATAGTGTAGCGGTGGTTCGTTGGACTAGTGACTATACTGCGGTGTGTTTCAAGTGGATACCACCAATGAATGGGATATTGAGCGCTAGAGGGACATTGCCGCCACAGCCAATGAGAGAAGATGCCGCCACTCTGGTGGATAGTGTCGGAACAGCGCGAGTCGGAGAATGTAGCTCGGGGGCTGGATGTGGCACAACTGGAGCTGTATATTCATCATTAATGCAACAAATCGCCGATCAGGTAGAGCATCACCTATAGCAGTTGATGAATAAACGCATCAATACATTATGCATTATTAGTACTGCTTTGTTATAGTTGTGATGGTACTACGAATGATAATCTAGTATGTATGCATTTTTAATGGTACTAATTAGTGTGCTGTGGAGAACGAGGAACTTAGAGGCTCGCTTCTCAAGGCAACTGCATTTTTGACGTACCCGACTGCAAATTCCGTCCCCTTTTTTCATGTCCACACAACACAGTAGTAGTAATGTTTATCTCTGTTATTATAGAGATTAGAAGTAAAAAAAGTGTATGGGTGGTAGGGATTTGTGTGTTTGGAATGAATGCAAAACGAATTTAGTGCAATTAGTGAATCAACGTCGATCAGAGTGAGATCGTCAGCGTTGATTTGTGATCAATTTCAATAGAGTTTCATGTGGGACAGTCATAGCACTCTCAGTAGGAAGATGATCTATAATTTGATTTGATGGGAAGGTAGAAGAGTGCACTAGCTAGTGGTTAGAGTGAATTAAATTTCGTTGATATTGTTTAATGTCAATAATAATGATAATGAAAATGATTGAAGTAATATCTGTAACAACATGGAACAGTAATAATGAAAACAATAAGAAGTGCACGTTTGTGTGTATGATTGTGCACTGGACGGATATTTTGTTGCTTTATCTGAATCGCTTCTTATTATTGATGGTAGAGCATGATAATGATGGTGGTGTCTAGGGGAAGATGGCTTGCAATCATTTGATTAGCCAGACATCGGTATACATTGTTGATCCTCTTCTCTCTTTTATCGTGTTTTCGTTTTAAATCAAGAAGACGAGTGAGATTACAGACACGTATTAGAAATTCTTTGCATTTGGTTCCATTTTTTTCGAAAATTGTAGTATTTTGCGTAAATGGTCCATCTAAATTTCATTCGTTTACTATCATCAGTGATAATGCTACTTTATTGGTTTTCTTTTATTTTGCCTCATTGTCGTATTCTGTTTCCTGTTTTATTATTTGTGGGTATATGTTGGTCGTCTGCATTGTAATGGTTGTTGGTGTGCTAGAAGAAAGTATGTATTGGTTGATTGATAATTCATTTATGATGCATTCATTGTTTAGAGGTCTAAGCTGTATAGGTCCAGACTAATTTATTCGTTTGTTTATTTATTTGTTTATTTTGCTTTTCTATGCTGATGGACAGAGAAATCGGAAATGCAATTTTGCTTATCTCCTCTTCTGTTCTCTGCGTCGCTCTCCTGCCTGGACTATGTGTTTTATTTATTTGTTTGTTCAATAATTTCTTTATTATTTCTTATTGTTGAATGAACTGAATTCCCAGTTGGAATCCAATTACTGCTTATGATAGAAAAAAATTCGATTTACCCTTGTTATGTTGAGCTAGTTTTAATGATGATATTAACAATGCTGATAGGGTTGATAATATATTCAAATGATCCAATGAGGAAGAAACTTTTCTGCTTATCAACTAATCAATTTCACACTTTGCTTACCTCTTTTTCTATTGATGTGGCTGTGTTTTTAAGCTGCGTATCGCTGTGAATAAAGGTCTGATCGACGTTTCACTGTTGAGTCGGCCTCTGCCGCAAACGACGCTGATCGTGCTTAATACAATTTTGCAAAAATTGTCAAAACTTGAGCAAGCGCAACAGGAGTACGGTCATGTTACACGCCAAATGTCCAGTCCTCCCCAAAAGGTTGTTAGTCATTTTGTATGTATGTTTGTTTATTCGATTATCGTTCGTTAGTTTTTTGATAATTGTTTATCTATTCTATTCTAATTGAAATTGAAGCAGATTTCACTTCCAGATGGAATCAGATCGTTTGCTGATGGAAATTCAAGGTTTACAAACAGAAATCATGCAGCTACGATCGAGCATCAGCGAGCCGGTAACTAATAGCAATAGCACTACAGCAGCGCAGTTTATGAAAGGAGCACAACGTGCACAAGCGGCCACAACAACGACTGTAAATGGCATTGTATCATCGTTGACTCCTCAAGATGGTCAGTCAAGGCTCAATCAGTGGAAACAGGCTAATAATAACCCTTCTGCTGCTGATGCGGCTGCTGCCGCTGCAGCAACCTCCCATGCAGATAAGGTAATCTAGCATCCTTGTGACTAGTAACGTTTTAACTGGAATGTTGATTGATTGGTAATGTTAATAATGGTGCGTAATATTCTGTTAATAATGAAATCTATCTCAATAATGATCTTTTTCAAATTCAGGTGACAAATTCAGCATCGGAAAATAACGTAACTGGTTTGATATCTGGAACGCAGAATATGTCATTAGATGATAAAATCGATTGGAAGAGTGGAACATTGGATTGGTCACCACCGGGCAGTACGGCTGGCGAAAGAAATGGTTAATTTGTGTTTATTGGTAGTCAGTCGTTTGTGTCTTTCGTATATTCATTTCATGTGTTATTATTATTGTATTGAAGTGGCAAATCCAACGACAACGGACAGTGGCAATGCGGAACGTGATGAGGGCTCGAATGTGTCCACAAATTCATCGAAAGTGACAACATCAGCAGCATCGACGGCACAGTCTGCAAACGGTACCCCGACACCACCAGTGGACGATGGACCGCAGGAGTTTGTACCTGGCAAAAAGTGGGAATGGAGAGATCCAAATAAGGTTCTTATCCATTGATTTAGTATTATTAGTATCAGTATCTGCGAGTATGCGAGTAACCTTAAAATTATTGTTTGCAGGTTGCCGAAGATCCGAATGCAACGCCGGGAAACTGTAAGCCGAATCCGCTGGTATCTGGCACAGCTTTTGGTGCGAATATGGCACAAAATTATTTGAACGAGATCTCATTAAATAAGGTAACGTGTTATTATCATTGCCCATATTGTCTCTAGATGCTCATGTGAGAGTTATTTCTGCAGGGTGCTTATATGGGTTGTTGGAATGGTATTCAGCCATCTGCTGCTGCTGTGGCTGCGGCAGCAGCGGCAGCTGCATATGGTGGCGGTGCGAATGAAATGTGGAATATAGGCGGGCGACAACAGTGCTCAAGACCGCCGTCAGCAGTGATCGGTCAACAACAGCAACAGCAACCACCTTTCGGACGTCTACCCGGCCAAACAGCACCGGGAACACAACAGATGCCCACGGGAATGGGTAATTATGCCACACGGTCATCGATGTCTGCCGCACAGCAACAACAACAACAGTTCCAATTTGGTGGTGCACCCATTCATTGGGTTCTTATTCAGCTGGCTGGAATTGTGAGTATTTTTGTAATTGATTAGTTTATTGATTCATTCCATTTGATAATCTGTTTAGTTGAGTTTCGACGAAAGTTTCTATTAATCGAGTTTCAGCACGAGAAGCAAGTGCATATGGTGTGTCATAAAGTAGGACAGATTCTACAGTTCGTATATCCACCTCACTCATCGTGTGTCTGTGTGAAATTCGCTGATCCAGTTGAGGCTATTGTTGCTCGTCTTAAAGCTGAAGTACCATTCAGTAAGTATCAGATTGTTTGTTCTTTCAGATGATTATTGTCCTTACCACTCAATAGATCACATTTTCCCATTTCAGTTCAACTCAAAGTAATGCCACAATCTGAAATGGAACGTTTGATGAAGATGAGTGGTGCAGCGACGGCTGCGGCTGTAGCTGCTGCTGCAGCTGGTAGTGGACCAGCGGGTGTTCTGCCGACGATGGGCGGTGGCGGTTGGGGTGCGACGGGTGCACCAACTCTGACAGATTCGGCCGCATGGACGACATTCGGAGGTGCGGGGAATGGTAGTGGAATGATGGGTCATGGCACTAGCAGCAGCAATGATCTGCTTCAACAACAAGCATCTGCTCAACAGCAGCAAAACACAGCAACGAGCGCCGCACAGCAGCAGCAAGCCGCAGCAGTAGCCAATCAACAGAATGCTAATACTGCTGCTATCTTTCATTCAGAAGATCTCAATCGACCATTTTGATGAGTTTATAATATAGAGTTGTGCTATTATACGATGTAATATAAGATGAATATTTGATGTACTGGTATTGTGTACTGGCATATGATGTAACCGTTTGTTTCTATATTTTTGTTGAAGAGTTTGTTTGTTCGTTTAATTGATTGATTAATCACAACTGATTTTATTCCATTTCGTTCTCTTCAGTTCATTTGAATAATACCTTGTGCGTAGTTCGGCAATACGATTTGGTATGATTATATGTATACGTATGTTGAACAATCTGTGCTTGTTTCATTTCTTCTCGAACTAATTGTAAGAAGCCATCGTGTGCCTAAGAAATCTCGTTTATTCATTAAAGTGATTCTTTTTTGTTCGTTTGTTGATCGATTGACTTGTTTGTTTATGTTGTATACTCGAATGTTTCTACTGCTGTTCGTGTTTTTATGCATATTTATTTATTTGTTTTACTATATATCGCTCCATTAATCCTCTTTACTTCGATCAAATCCCAAACTCACTTTAGACTCATCGTTACAAATCTGTCATCTACTGACAACCCAAATCCTTATTTCGCCACTCTCATCTCGTGGTTGTCAAGCAGAATTTTTATTTTGAATTTATTGTTTTTGACAAACGAATTTGAATTTATTATCAAACAAAATTTGAATTTATTGTTCCTTTTGATTGTGTCTCTCTCCCTGTGTTTCTTTACACTCGGATATTATCTCATCTCAGTTGCATTCATATTTATCTTTGAATGTTATCATTATTGTTATTACCATCGGTAGCCTTGTTCCATTGGTCGTCATCTGCAGCGTTCTTGTGTTACCAGTGTTTTCGTACACTTCAAAAAGGGTCATTGTACAACAGATGTAAACATTAAAAGGGGCTGACAGGTTGAGTAGAATTGTATCGTGTCGTTCCAGCTGCTGGTGCTAATCGATTTTGGATTTGATGAAGGGTTCGTTTCTTTCATATTCTATTCTAATGCATCCATCGTTCGAGTGTTCGCAACTCATCTGCAATCCCAGTTCCGTCTCATATAACTAATATTATATATATATATATATGTAAATACCTTTGTACCTTCATAAAGGTATTTGTTGTGTAAATATAAGCTACTAATTCAAGTTGCTAATAAGATGATGATATACTAGTATGGTGCGGGGATCGGAGAATTTCGGAGACCCTGTCCCCGACTTTCTTCGAGTCGACTACATTTTCGGAGGCCCCAACTGGAAAATTTCGTTCCCGACTTTTTTTTCTTCCCTGTAATACTAATAGTCGAGGAATTTCAAGGACCCTGTCCCCGACAATTTTTGATCCGGCTGCATTTTCGGGATCTCCGACTGCAAAATTTTGTCCCCGATTTTCCCCGTCCTCGACTTTTTTATCCGTCCCTGAAGCACTAGATAATACCGTCAATTTAACTTTTATTGTTATAATTGATACCACTATTATTGACATTAATATTGTTTCTGTTATAATACATCAATGATTATTACTGATTGATCATAACTCAGTTATTCCATTCGTTGATAATCTTATCATTATTATTATCAGTTAGCTTGTCTTCGGTTTTCTCCCTTGATCAATTTTTTGCAGTCATCATCCTCCTCTCAAGTTGACACCTTCTCATCTTGTTTAATATCTCATTTTCTCTTATGTTATATTATATACTTATATGTATATATATATATGAATGTTTATCTTTAAATTCTCATGTCTATTCAATTTGTCCTTCATCTTATCAGGTTTTCTAATGTTCATTATTGTCAGTTGCTACTGTGACATTGAGTTTCGTTTTTTTAAATTTTCATTAATTGAAGCCAGAATTGAAGGGTTCATAAATAGGTGATATATAATATGCTATTTTGTGTGGTATTGTATATCATGTATTATTGATATTATTATTGTTAGTGTTCAGTATTACTATTAATCAATGATTGTTTCATTATAGTTATGTACGGTACGATAATAATGGTATAGTTGAACTAGTGTAAGGAATAAATGGGTAAATGCGATTTGAATAAGCAAAGCAAATTATTTTATTAGGCATGCTGTTATCATAATTGTGCCGTTTGTCAGTTGATCATCGAAATGATCGTCATTTCTTTCTGTATTGTTCACATTACTTTCACTCCACCACTCTGTTATGCTGGTTGCATACCCAGTGCATTATTGTCAATTCTACAAAGTTGAGTTTTATTGTTATTTGAGTAATCACTGTGAATTGTTTTATTTTCATTATCATTGCTACGGATCACAATTGTTGCAATTAATATTAAGAATATTGATTGATGATAATGTGAAAAAGACCTTATTGTTATCGTTATTACTATTACTATTATCGTGCTATGTCGTCTATTATTTTGTTTTGAATTCAGCCGATATCGTTGGTATCATTATTAATGTTGTTGTTGTTACTACTGCTGCTGGCCGTAGGTTTGTAAGATAGTAACTGTTTTTGTGTTGTTGTGATTTTATTCGGTATGCTTAACTACTTAATTTAATTGCACATCAGTGAGCACTTCTCACATTAAGCCATTAATAATCTGTCTTAAGATATGGTACCACTGAATGAGATTGAATCACTTCATGAAAAGATGTTTTCTCTGCAGTTAAGCACTTAACTATCTTGAAAATGTTTTTTTAATTTGTACGCTTTTCTTTTTGAATCATTTAACGGTTCAGTTCGACCGTATCATTCATTCGTAATGTATTTAGTTTATTCACGACTTCAGCAATTCGTCTTCATCAGTGATTATCAATCATTCAATCAGTCACTGCTGATTTTTCGTTGTTTCCTCCTTCAGTGTCCTTTAGCATGTTGGTTCGTTTGTTTATCTGTTTACGTATTCATTCATTGCTTATTGAATGAATATTGCGTTTAACACTGATGATGATGACAGCGATCATTTTAACTTATCAACTTATTACCTAGTAGAAGTATGTTCTACTTATTTGTCCAGCCATGTTCGTCTTATCAATTACTGCTTATTAATTGTTCTTGAAGCACCCATCTAATTAACTGTCTACTTAACTGTTTACTGTCTACTGTCTATCCCTCGTCCCATGAACACAGCATTGTAAGTGGTCATTCAATCTAATTTTAGTTATTAATCTATCCAACCAAATCACTTCATAAACTATGATTGGTTTTGTTACGTATGCGAACTCTCATCTTCCATTGTTATTTCTAAGTTTTTGTTTTTTGTTGAAACTCAAGTACAAGAACTGCACCTGAACCACAAATGTACAACAGAAAATAGAAACAGCAACACATTATTTATCCTTTGCTTCCTTGCATCACCTGGAATGCGGCCTATGGCTGGTCTGTTGTTTCGTCTGTGTGAATGATACGGCTCTTTTTGAGAGTGTCCGGATGCATTTTAGCTTTTTGTCAACTTTAATAGTTGTATTTTTTTTTAGTGTTTCATCATTTCATTCATTTATGATGTATACAGTGATTTGGCATGCTAGTATTACTAATCGATTGCTATTGTTGCTACTACTAAATGCTAGTATCACTATGACTTTTATTATCAATTTTTGTTGTAATATTATTGTAATTGCTACTGATGTCACAGAGTTGGCAGCAGGCAGCATGCATATTTGTTATTAATTGATTGTTTCGTGTTGGTTATGAAAGGAATAATAGATGTTTATTACAACTACAATACAATATTACAACTAACGTATTATATTGGTAGTATGACGATTGGAAATTACCGCATAAAAATTGAATTCACAACGTTAACCGCGTGCGAATGTTTATACATCTTTCCTCTCATGTTTTTGAAACTCAGATAATTTTCTGTTTTTTGTTTTTTTCTGGTTTGTGTTATCTCTTCGTCATTATTCACTGGTTCAGTAACGTTCCTGTGAATACTTTCCCTCATATTATTCGTCTTATTCGCTGCTCTTACGATTGTTTTCATAAATTTTTTGATCATAATTAGCATTACTGTTGTTGTTGTTGTACCTAATCATAAATATATCTGGCGACTGAGAATTCGAGCATCTCTAGTCATGAAAAGTTACCACTTTGCTCGCCCAATCTATGAGCGGGTAGGCGTCAAGCTGTCAAGGGGTACCATTGCTATTTGATTGATTCTTGATGATAGAATTTTGAGTGTTATCAATTGGAATTTGAGAGGTTCTTTGCAACCGCATTGCTGCAGTAAGGTAATGGTAACCTGAGAAGTATTGGATTTGTTTGCTTTCGTCATCCATATGATTATCATTATTTGTAACGTTTATGTTGTCAGTAACGTTTGAATAATTTTACTGAATTGTGGTGAGTGAATTAACCAAACGTTTATAATGGTAATGATGTCCATCTGAATGCTATTCTGTTTTTTCCGTGATATGGCGGGTGTTTTTCGTTTGGCGTTTCGGCTCGATCCGGTCCGCTGAAATTTGTTTGTTGATTTTCTTGCGCACTTACTTCGTTCATCATCGTTATCGTTTTCACGTTTCGTTTCATTTAACTCTTTGATATACCTGTATTGTTCTGTGTACAATTATCATATACATTTTACAATGATGACGATTATAATTATTGTTATTAATACCTTTTTGAACGAATTGTTTGTTTTGTCGTGTTTGTTTGGTGATAATAACTTTTTATGATTTATTTATCTTCATGTCATCGTAAAGATTCAACAATAATCTTCTGAGAAAAATCTTCGTATAAGTTTTATCACCAGTTTATGCTCAACTTCAAGCATGTTTTCCTGTATCTGCTAGTGGGAGTACCATTCATATTAATATATTAGTGACATCATTTTTACTATAATTATAACTACTATTATTGTTATTTTGATCATGTTGTGATTACAATCGCTATTATTATCGTCATAACCACATGCGTCCATATAAACACGTACAAATTTTGAATAGCATGCATGCAGGCGTGGTCATGAACATGAACGCTCGTTAATAAAACTTCTCTCGTTTTTGAAATATGTAACCTGAAGCACAACAAACGTGTTTGTGCGAAAACGAAGAAGTGTTGCATTCGTATGGTGGCAATTCGTTATTTCTGTTAACAGCGTTTCTGTCCATGTTATCATAGTTCATTTAAACTATGTTCATTACACGTAACAGCAGTTTTTCGAAATGAACTTAATTCACTAAAGTGAACGCAAAAAATGAATTTGATGATTCGTAACACATGTATATTTGATGGTTTCTTTCATGGAACTTCGTCAGCGAGTTGATATTCGTTCGTTTGTTTACACACATCAACATAATACCTATTTGTTTATTACTCTTTAATTGGTTAATTTTGATCCATACCTATGATCACAGATAAAAAGACCGTGACAGGTAATATAATCAACGGCGCACGAACGATCAATAATTTAAGTGCAGAAAAGCTGATGACAATGGTGGTGAAGTAAATTTTTTATCAATAGTAAGACATTCATCCATCCATCCGTCCATACGTCCATTTGATTACATGGGTGGTCCGAGTAACTCTTTGCGATGGATCAGTAGCAGAGTGGTAGTTTTAACTATGCAGTCGTAAATGCGGTTTCATCGAGGGACCTATTCGTTGAAGTGATCACAGTTATAATCGGAAGCATAAGAACAAGAAAATGAATCGTAAATAGTGGAAGGATGATGTTAAAATCATCGCATCAAATGAGATGAACTTCATGAGTTTTGATGACTGATTGAGCGGCGGAAAACGAACTGATTAAGGCGGTTATCAGCTGATGAGTCAGTCAAGAAAAAAACTCATTTTATATCAACTGTTGATTGATTTATATATTATTTTATATGCAGTAAAATGGATTCATCCTCTGCTGCTGTTGCAGTGAGATAGACTATAAAGACGAACGAGCGGGCGGTCTGCACGAATTGCCATTTCTGTGGACTGATCAGTTGATCTGCAATTGATCTTAACAATCGCTTTCATTTCTCACTGAGTTTGACACAAAAATTTTCGACTTGCCGCAGTTATCACCAAAACATGGTGATTTAATATGGCATTAGATAAGAAACGAGAATGTTGGTTCATTTTCATATTATGTTTTGTATTGTTCGATATGATTGTCGGATGTTGAAGGAAAATTTGAAAATAACGATTGGTGGACTAATTTCACCGAGTAGCGTTATAATCTTATGCGTCCGTTGAAATTAATTTTCAAAATTTTCCCGAAATTTTTTCGTTGAATTTTCTTTAGTTCATTCCGTCCTAATTGTCGGATTCAATTTTGACGAAGCGATAAACTTTGATTATTTCATGTGCAGGAGGGGTTGTGTCAATGCTTGCGTAATATTGTACTTTGGCGAACAATTTCCCGTTCTTTTATTATTATTTCACTGATGCTGATAATACTTTTGCGTTTGTTTCAAATTTGTACTGTCACCAGTTTTTTGTGAAAGGCAGTAATATGGGTAAATTGATGTTGCTCTTATTTGCTGTACGTCTGCATTCATTAATAAGATGACTGTGTTAGCCTATTTCAAGAAGTTTTATCTTTGTCACCAGTGTTGTTTAATCTTGATTATTGTTTGTCTGTCATCGTTCTTATTAATTTCCATTCACTTCCGTAGTAATGAGGCTGTAATATTGTAGTTGATCTTGTTTTTTGGGACTGTTTTGAGTAGTGAAGAGAAATTCAGCAAGTCTTGTTATTCTTTCTTCTTGTAATAAACTGTATGTATATAATAATAAGTATTTCAACCTGTTTTCGCATTCGGAACTGAATCGGTAAAGACAACTGGATGGAAGGTGTCTGAAATTGTCGATGAATATAAAAACTTTCATGATTGATCAACAAAAACACATTCATGTCGAGCAACCAATGCAGGTTCGGTGCAATGCACAGACAGTTAATAAAGCATAGAAAAAGTCCGATGAAATTTGATTTATTTGCCGATCTTTTTTTTTTTCAAATGTCACTGATGCATGGTAGGTGATGGTTCGTTTAATTACAAATCCGATCCGTGCTCGCCTCACAATCTATAAGTTGCGAACACTCATTTTTTGGGGAGAGAAGTTTCCATGCAGGCGGTTGGTTGTTGACTCAGCGCATCAATGTCGTCACACACAGATAGACGTCGACTTCAGAGGGGCTGACACTGATGAATTGATCGTTTTGTCACGTTTCTATAATATCCGAAATAAGTTAGTTGCAAAATGGCTTCATTAATGAACCGCGAAAATGTCGGCAATGATAGTGAAGTATGGCGATTTGAGTTTTGGCTGGGGCTCGTACAGAGGCTGACGTATTCATGAGACAAATAAATCCGGAGCGAGGTATCTATTGCACAAATAGATGGTTGTTCGCTATGAGTCTAAACCTAAGAACAAATGAAATGTTTATAATAAAAAGTATTTCAACGTAATGTACATGATAATAATGTATATATAATAATAAATATACATCGCCATATCTGGCTTTGATTATTACCATTTTGAACGAAGACGATTTCAGAAGTTTGTGGAAATTTTTTCGAAATTCGTTTAAGCGACTGACCGCAAGCAGAGATTGAAAGGCGATTTGTAGAAAAGTGTTGAAAAGTGCAGCTTAATTCGAAAAGCAATTGTTTCGACTGGCATGATAAAGAGACTGGAAGATGTTTCTTGAACGTTTTCTCACTCAATTCATACTGATGCAGTAGAAAATTTTACACGGTTATAGACAATGGCTAATTATTATTACATTGTTTGTGGTTACGATGCGTTATTGTTTCATGCATGGTTGTCGTATTCGAAACGGTTCCATTCAGTTCGCTTTTACCTCATTTCATTTTGTTTAATTTTATAGTCGCGGTTTTCAAGATTAGCTTAATGATTTTTAACGAATGCTGCTAGTCTTGCGATGTCACAGGTAGTGATGAGTGGTGTTCGTCGGGGAACGGGGTCCTCATCGGGGAACCCGACGGGGAACACGGGAAACGCTCCCTCCCCGCGCAATTTGCTCCCCGACTTTTCTGCGGGGGCCCCCTCCCTCCCCGTTCACTTTCGCTCCGCGACAGGGAGGACGAGCTCCCCGTCCTCCTCGACGGGGAGCGCGAACAGTCAACTGAAAATAGCGAAATACCGCTGCAACACTTTCAATATTGTATTGTTGTTTGTTTTGAAATGTGAGTATAAGGTGTTTGCCTCAGACTTCGCTGATTGGAGCGATCTGTTGTTTAGATTCTTAAAGTAGCTGAATTTAGAATATCCAATATGGAAGTTTTGATTCAGCTGTCATTTAAAAAAGAATCAAATATTGCTGAGAGGGAAATAAACGATGGCAAATGACATTTTTAAAGGATATAATCACAGAGATCGAAAAACTTGTTAAGAACAATTCCAACCTGTTATTCATTTGAAAATTCATGGTTATGCACTCATATAACTGAGTTATTGACCAGCTGATTTTGAGTTATTTCGATATCAGAAGTTTGAATTGATTATCCAGGAAATCACTACTATTACTAAATCCGTCTACTTATCAAACAGTGAAAAAATTCTCACTTCGTTCTCTACTGCTAATGTTTCCGATAATTACTGTTGAGGTATTGGATTATTGGGGGCGTGAGTTATTGTGAAAGTGATACGATATTGGAGATAATAAGGTAGGATAAAACTGATAAGATAGAGATGTTAATAAAATGAAGCCAATTTATTGTGAGGTTTTTGAATGGTAGCAACATGTTATTTAAAGCTTTAGTCGTGAGCGCATTATCATTGATAAACGATTTCATTTCATTCCCAAGTGCACATCGGCAGGGAAAATTTTATTTAAAAAGCTGAAACGGAATTTTCACAAAAAAAACTCCTTAAAAAAGAAGAAGAATCTTTAAAAAATTGAAATTCTATTCAAAAGTTGAGCTGAAGTGCTCCCCGTCCTCTCCGTCGGGGAACACGAGGAGCGGTCATCCCCGACGGGGTCTCCCCCCGCGCAACTTGCTCCCCGACTTTGCGGGGNCCCCCCCCCCCCCCCCCCCCCCGTCCGAAAAACTGCTCCCCGACGAACACTAGTGATGAGTGAATGTGTTTGCTTAAAACATTGCAGATGCACTCATTAAATTATTTCATTATTGAGTGATTTATTTAAAATTTTTCTTGTTTATAAAAATTGTATTTGAAAGTTATATTACTGCGTACTTTGTTCGTATTCAATATCTACACACTAAACTCATGCTCATATCGTATCATACATAAGACAATTTTTTAGAAAGATTATTTTATCGATGAAAAATGATCATCTCAAATGAATGCGTACACGTCATATAGCACTAAAGAATTGTGTATATAATCATTAGTACTCCCGCTCGCATTAGCTAATCACTTGAAGCACATTTGTAAAAGTCCATTAAACACTTCTTTTCGTCAACTAACAATTCGGCTTCTGCAAAAATTACTTTTTCATTCATTTCTGTAGTCGCTTATCTTTCTGTCTATTTATCCATCTATTAGTCCAATAATTTATTTTCCTATTCAAAGCCATCCTTAATTTTCTCATTCTGCCTATCATTTCATATGCACTTCATCTTTTCTATCTTTGTGCACATTCGTTATTCACAAAGTATTTTTTCGTGAACGTATACATGTTTCTTCGACTGTCTATACACTGCTAAAATTTATTTATAATCAGTTACTACAATGATTTGAATATTCATTAGCAAAACAGGAATTTGAGATAGCGCTTTCAAATATGTATATAATTATTGCGAATGAGGCATTTTGAGATTCGTAGAAGGGATAAAAATTTATATTACATATTTATATATATGTATATATATATATTGCACTGGTAGTATTAATAAAAAATTTCATATAATTGAGCAATTCGAAGGGTCAGTTGAAGTTATTGGTCGTAATCGTTTCACGTCCATTTCTTTAATTGCTGTTATTTGTTATCACATCGATATAACATTGATTAATCTTGCATAGACTTCAAAAGTCGTTCGAGTGTTTTCTTTGTTTTGAACTGATCCAGCAACAGAGCAGCATTGATAAGAACATGCCGATTAACTGAAAATTACACGATGTGTTGTTATTAAGTGATTGTGTGATCAAGTAATTTCAAATGGGACACGTTCCAGAGAATAATTGCAATAAACAAAGAAACGTATGCATTGTCAATATATGAGAAAAAAAAGTTGAGATTACCCTTGAACGAATTAAGATATACACTCACCTGTAACGCTCCAATTATAACACATACTGCTATAGCTATATCGAGATTAGTGTAAACTGCTTCATATAGTGCATCACTGCAGCCCTGAAAATTTGAATGAGAGATCTCAGAGAAACGAAGATAGTATGTAGTGTTAAACAATGCTTGAAAACTTAATATATGATCACAAAATTATTTTTAATAAACATATTATCTTAATCAGATACAGATCCTTTCCATTGGATACATTCTCTTCTCCCTCACAATGATGGCAAAGTCTATATCTAGCTTGAATACATCTCTGTCCCCCATCCCAATGCTCCCATGAATTGTTATTGTTGTCAAAACCAACCTTCGTATGTAAGAAAGGTTCGTAAGTCCATAATTCCAACTTATCGAAACTAACACCACAGTTGGTGGGGTAATCCCTGAGGCCATCTTCGTTACAGCAAGATCGTGGTACTTTTCCAATGGATGACGAGCCAATGCCTAGTTCGGTACGTCCTACTACGTCGTGACCCCATGATGAATGTAACCAGTCACGATACGATTTTACACCGCAGCATTCAAACTGAATATTTGATATTGTTGTTAACATGATGATCATTCTTTTTCTTATTGATGTCATTATTATTATTATTATTATTATTATTGTTATTATTATTATTATTATTATTA